ACACCTACCATGTTTGATTGGTTCGATCCTGGCCGACCCCTCACTCACATTTCCTCCACTGAATCCAACTTGGGCAGCATCAACTTGCCACCTTCAACAATGACAGTCGACATGGAGTTTTCAACGCCAACGTCGCATCTGTCATGTGGTCACAATGTGGGCATCGAGATGTGTGATAGAGAACGGTTATCCATTGAAAGTAGAGAATAGGTACGAGGCTCGCTCTGAAATAGGTGATGCGAGCGAGTATCCCATGGAGTGCGGATGGACAGCACTTTCGCCAAGGGTGGGGCAGAGCCAATAAGGGCTTGCAAATCTATTAAGTTAACTAATAGGGCTGCAGTACCTCTATTTCCTATAAATTTTGGGTGTGCTAGAGGTACTAGCAATCTTTGCTGATATATAACGGTATATTATAATCTAAGTAGCCCTTTCGAGTTGTCTGCCGTCGTTGCCGAGCGATGGCATTCCTAAATATCTCTTTAAAGCCTTCTTATTATTATAATAGATATAAGGTAAAGATACCTTTCTTAATTCCTTCCTATGCTGTTCTTATAAAATAGAGGTATTTTTATTTATTTATAGCCTGTCTAGGCCGTAATAGTCTTTGCCCGCCTGCTAATGGTCTAAACTATTGAATAAGCTAGGCTGCTAGTAATTGTGACATTTCCTATCAGCACACTTGGTGCTACGGTCACGTGATAAGCGTGGCCTCTGTACTTAAGACGGTCTGACCGTGACCCTCCACATAAGGGGGTCAACCTTGAAGACACACATCACCCATGACCTACCATTGACGTTCACTTGCTCTTTCGCTTTGCTCTTTCGCTTGCTCTTCTGCGCGTGCTTCTATCGCTTTGCTCATTTCGCACTCTCTTGCCCGTACCTACACAGACAGGCCACAGTCTTACCCCCTCTGTCAGAGACGGCTCTGTCAGGGAGACTGTGTCAGTAATCGTCGTTATTAATAATGGGATTCTACCTTCTGCTACCTAGGGCTGCCCTAGAGCTATAGTAGGAAGCTATTTATAACTATTACTTCTAGTAAGAAATTCTAGGTAATTAATGTGTTACGAGCTGGACAAGGCAACCAACTGTGGCACAAAGCAAAAGCTTTGACAATGATGACTCCGCATCATTTTCCCTTGTTCTGCATTATATAGCTACGCGCCCACAGTGACAAGTTGCGGCGGGCGTAACATAATCTTACGGCCTAAACAGTTGGTCCTGTCATGGCGTAGCTATATAATGCAGAACAAGGGAAAATGATGCGGAGTCATCATTATTGAAGCTTTTGCTTTATGCCACAGTTGGTTGCCTTGACTTGCTCGTAACAATTAACTACTAGCCCCCTTGACGAATAGAGTGGTTATATTAATAATAGGACCTCATTTGGTTACTTATACTAAGAGGTTAGAAGTAGGCAAATAGGAAAAAGATAAATAAGTTGAGGTACAAGTTGGGTTAATCAGAGAATCAATTGTATTGATAATTATTCTATGATATAACTAGCGGGAAAGTATAGTCTGTATATAATATATAAATATCAAATGTAATCACATGTAATCACATGTGATGCTTAAGTCCGAGCATTTATTATTAAGTTTATACGGGCATATGTGCCTGTCGGCGCTTTAATATGTATATGTAAAGCGTATTTACGTACGGGCTGTACGTGCGTACAAAGCGTTGTATCTCAGGAGATACGTACTTCAATTGAGCCTCTTATTACCATGTAACTTCTTAAACACATAACTCCTATAGTACCTATATTTATAAATATATCATTAAAATCGTGGAAAATCAATGAGTCTAGATATATTTATTAAACATATATAGCCCTTATATTCATTGAGCTATTAATATTTATTTCTTATATTATAGAGTATGTCACAGACCCGCTGTCCTAGACCCCAACCTTGAGGTTGGTGTTGAGTAACCCGGTGGCCGGGTTACGTAAGCCTGAGGCTGGATAAAACTCTGCATCCTGTATTCTGTCGCGCATGTCCAGAAACGTAGCTCCTTGAGCTACGTCTTGTCAACAGAGCCTGTACCTGCTTAGGATAGAGCCTGCCCGTAGCAATAGATTGTCTGATCCGCCTGCCCAGCATCCACCTGCCAAACAACCTGCCTGCTACCGTGACAGAGTATTAGTTTTAAGGTACTAATTAAGTATAAGTTTTAGAATTTTAGTAAATATTCTTAGTCTTATATTAACCCTATTTATCTTATAATTATACTTAACTTATTGATTACCTTAAGAACTGGAAGGTCCTTACGGACGTCTAGGCTAAAGACTTGCCGGGCAGCCTTCTTAATAGGGGTATCCCTAGCTGGGCGGCGGCGGTTACGAATAACTTTTTAGCTATTCTAGAAGATATTTAAAAGGAAGAGTACGAGAGTGTTATCCTTCTAGGTGAATTAGTTAACCTATTTCTTAGTTAGCTAGGTAGAGCAGGGCTAGGCGGGCTAGCAGCTTACTTTTTTATTTAAAATAGGGATATAGTATATTTTTACCATTTTAATTAATGCTATGATGTCTTCTAGTGTTTCTAATACCTCTATTATATCTAATACTTCTATTACTTCTATACGCAGCTATATAGTAGTTAAGGTCCACCTAGAAGACCTTATTACTACCTATAATATAGATTATACGCCCGAGCGCTATAACGTAGCTATAGTCCGGCCCCACGAACCTCCGGCTACTTAGCATAGTCCTCCGGGCCCCTTCCGGCCCTTTAACGTACCGGCCCGGGCCTAAGAGATACGGGGGCTACCGGCAAGCCCGCTTAAACTATTCCTCTAATACGTTCCGTAGAGCCTCGTAGAGCAGTAGGCCTAGTGGACGAATATAGTACCGTAAGACTGGGGATTCCCTTTATATACTTAGTTCAGACCTTATAGTTAACGAGGCTATAGTCCGATTTATAGGTCGATCTCTTAAGACGATAACGATTCTAACAAAACCTATCTTAACTAGCTATAAGATCTAGATCCTTGCCCAGTCTAGCTACTATATACGGTAGCTATGGTACGTATATAGAAAGGGCCTATACGCATTAGTCCCCCAGGCCCGGCCAGCTAGGCCAGCTGCTGGAAAGCTGGCTCTGTTAACACCAACGCAGCAAGTAATAACTACGCTTATCTCACTACTTCCAGCTACAACCTACCACGTATTTCTTAATAATCTCTTCGCCTCTATACGTCTCTTTTATACCTTATGAAATTAATAGGTTAGAGCTTTTAATATCTACCGGAAGGATGAGAGGATAAATAAGATTCTAGTTACTAAGAAAGAGACTAAAGGACAAGATTCCCTTAGGTAATAATAGTGATGATAATAAGTAAAAGAGCATAGGGACGAGTGACGTATCGTCAAGTACCCCTTTAAATGCGGGGTAATAGTGGGTATTTCGTGATCTTGGCGAAAGTGCTGTCGTTGATGATGATGATGATGTATTTAACGTCTGGTAACAAAAGGACGTGCCGGGCGCTATGCCGACATGGTCTATGCTAATCTAAACTATGTTACAGGCGGCGAAAGTGCTGTCCATCCGCACTCCATGGGATAGGCCTCGGTGATTATGTAACCGAGGTCACGTGACGGGCAGTGAGGCCACAGATGGTTGAAGCCATCACGACACTAAAAGAACTCCACCGACTCTCAACCTTGTCAGGCTACCTTATACTCCGTTGAGGAAGAACAGGGAGCTCATCGAGCCATATTTCCTAGCTGCACTATCTTGGTGCCACAGAAGCAATGTCAACCCCAGGAGGAGGGAGTCCTTCCCTTCATGGACCTGGGCTGGCGCAGTTCGTTGGATATGTCATCCCTTCCTCGGCTCTTCAAAGAACTTAATTTCATTCATGTGTGGACTTTAATTCGAGTCAGAAAACGGCACGCTCTCAGCGGCTTGCAAATACTTACAACTGAATGAGAACATGGAACCTTGCCCAGACTCTCGCTCAGCTGTAGCGATTCATTTAGAGGCTTCCTTGGTGCCGGCCTCTCTCTTTTGCGGCAATCCGAACGACAGTGACTCGTCAGAATGGGCCACACTCACTGTTAATGGCCATCGGCTTCTGATGACGGACCGAAGGACACCTACAACGAGCCCATCTGTACTTCTCCAGCGTCTCAGGACGAGACAGTGGGGGTGCCTCGTGCTCGGAATCTATGAGTCGGAAAGACACGTTGCCCACGAGATGTTCATGCTTGTAATCGAATGGCAAGGCAGTACCACAGCGACTCGTGTTGGTGCTCTAGTAGTCAATGTGGCTGATGTAGATACCTCTTCGGATGTAGGTTTGATGGACAAGGCCTGGAAATCCCCGCGGAGCCAGGTCCGTCTAATCTAAGGAGGAAGATTGAAGCTGCTTAAGTTCATGTGTAGAAGTGATCAAGAGCATTGATATAATCTTCAACCCAAATTCATTACCTGAAAGCAGGTGCCACTCCGGCCTTCTGCTTTTTGATGCGTGTATTATCTAGTATTATCCCTAAACAGCCAGCTGCTTGGCTGTCACTTCACAAACCGCACTTCGCTATGTCTGTTACGCATTGTACTTCCCTTAAAAGTCCATTATTGGACAAACCACAGTCGTCAACATTCGTCTCCCTGGCAATGCGCCATGTTTGAAAATTGGAGCAACTGGGGTGCCACAAGATCTGTGGCTTTGGGGGCTACACAAGCACGAATGGAATATGTTTGATACTATCTTGCCTTAGCGTTGGTGATAGGAACATAATAGTTACTTACGTATATGTCATCTGGTATAGATCTCTCATTGAATCTCTCGTGCCCACCCTCAAATGTACATTCACTCAAAAATTCTTGAAGACTGGAATTTCTATAAAAGGAAGGAACCGCCGACTTCATTCTCGTTCGTCTAGATGCAACACATTCTACCTCAACCACACCCAGCAAGGCAATTCTGAGACTACAGCAAAACCGCACGACCACCTTCATTCATCACCAGCCGACACACTCTCCAAGATGCACTTCAGCAACATTCTCGCACACACTGCCCTGTTCGCAGTCAGCGTATGATATCCCCTTCCTCCGTTCCAAAGCTTCGTGTACTGACTTGAACCAGGATTCTGCTTTCCCCAGTCATAACGAGGTCTTGGAGCTTCAGGCCCCTATCGATGGCTTCGATATCATCATCCCGCAGTGGGAGGTTCAGGCCGCCCCTGGAGGCGAGAAGTTGATTCTTGCCGGAACGGTCGAGCAGGTTCTCTCAGAGCTCCAGGCCATCAACCCCAATTATGCGCAAGACTTTGGCCTCGACATTGAGCTCCCTTCACCCGCCGTTCATAAGCGCAACGACTTTGACGGCGCCGCTTTCGCGTGCAACGTCACTAAGGCTATGGCTGATCAGAGGATCATCGTCAAGGGTGCCAAGTACCTCAGAGGCGTCAAGGGAAAGCCCCATCACCCTCCTGGACCTAACACTTGCGCTCGTGTCAGCTGCAGCTGGAAGTCTGCAATCTGGTGGTGTAATCATGTAAGTACACAAGAGATACCGTCTTCACAAGGCTATTGTGAGTCTGATTTTCTACAGGCACAAACCCCCCGCGATCTAGACTCTTTCGGTCTGATTGCTGACGGTGCCGACCACATCATTCAAGGCTGCCAGACCAATGGCGAGTGGATCGACGGTCAAACGTGGCACAAGGATAACTGGAGTGTCATTGTTGGCCGCGCCAACTGCTAACTCAAATTAGCCAAGGCGTCTTCCGAGGACGATACAAGGCTCGGCAATCCAGTTGGGGAAGGAAAAGGCCCGGCATTTGGCGGGACTTTAACGTTATAAGTTCATGGTAGCCGTTAGCATTTCTCCCTCAAGTTAGAAACGTGGTCCCAGCGACTGAGGTCCTGGTTTCAGTCATATATCCTTCGTCCTTTTGGTGAAGCTTTGTAAATTTGTAAATGCACTGTGATCTGGGAGCCCATTCACTTCTATAGAAGTCATCATTGTCCAACCTTCCCACGTAAAAAACTGTAAAGCAGCCTCGTCGGCCCAGAACCTCTGGATTGCGGTCCGTTAGGTAGTTTAAACCAGTTTTGTATCTGACTGTACTTCTAGGGAATAAAGGCAACACTATGCCCTGATACAGACTATATTGAGATAGACCCTTGCCCAAAGAGCAGATTTTCATCGCTCTTCAAACCTTATCCAGTTTCGTCCACATCCTGGTAGTTTCTCCGCGAAGACCAGCACTTGATCAAGTCGAGTTCTAAACAGAAAGGTTTTCTCGGCAAGATGTCGGTGTCGTCGCACCAGTCCAGTGGAGCATCCGTTTGTCTCCAATGAGGCTCTTGGACTCAATGCGGTTGGCGTCGCCTGAATCGGCATTTCAACTTGGATCGGCAGCATTGAAGTTCTAGGCCTATGAAGACTTGTAGCACTGATTTTGAGCTTCCGGGCTGAGTCGATGAAAAAAGACTGTCGTCATGAGGCTTCTGGCATGTAGTGCATGTCTCTTAATCCGCCAATCGATTCGCCCAAGGAAGCCAAGGGGGGAGCCAGGCCACCTTAGCTCATGCGAAGCGCCACCGGTTGTCACACCCGGGACTTTATCTCCTGACTTAGTGCGATCACTTCGGCGCCTACCGAGAATTTAGCGGCAACTTCATAGACGTCATTCATCTATGCATACTCTCTGGTAATTAAACAATTGGAATTGTGCGCCCGAGGTCCAGCTGCGGTTCGGCTACGTTGGCTGCAGCATTGTGAGCTCTGAGGCGGGGAAGATTGAGGCAATTCGAGCGTCATCAGTTGTCTTTTTGAGTACCTATATAAGCAAGTAGAGTGCAATGATCAATTGTAACTTTTTGGCTTTCGATCGAAGCAATAAAGGTCAGAATCAACAAATAATATCATATTAGTCGAAAGTACCCATCAAAATGAGTTATCCAGAGAAGTTTACCGGCTTCTGCACCGCAGGGCCTAGCTCGTGGAACAAGTTCACAAAACAAGCTCTCACACCGAAACCCTTTGAAGATCACGACATTGATGTGCACATCGAATGCTGCGGTGTCTGCGGGTCTGACGTCCACACTATCACTGGCGGCTGGGGCGAGTACGAGGGTCCCCTGTGCGTCGGCCACGAGGTATGTCTTGTTTCCCAGGATATTAGTTTCGGAATATGAGGTTGATGGCCATCAAGGTTGTTGGCAAGGCTGTTGCTGTGGGGAAGAACGTCAAGGAGATCAAGGTGGGCGATAGAGTTGGTGTGGGTGCCCAGGTCTGGGCATGCCTTAAGTGCGAGCAGTGCAAGAATCAGAACGAGAACTACTGCCCTCACCTGGTTGGTGAGTTCTGCTCTTGTCCTAATCAGAGATTCGGAACAGTAAGGTACTGACATCGTCGGCTAGACACATACAACGCCAAGTACGAGGATGGAAGCCAAGCACATGGCGGCTTCGCCAGTCACATTCGCGCTCACGAGTACTTTACTTTCAAGATTCCCGATGCGATAAAATCGGAGAATGCCGGCCCGCTGATGTGCGCTGGTCTCACCACATACTCACCTTTGGTTCGAGGTGGTGTCGGCCCGGGGTCAGTCGTCGCAATCGTCGGCATCGGCGGCCTCGGCCACCTTGGTCTCCAGTGGGCCAAGGCACTCGGAGCGGAAGTCTACGCCGTTACTCACTCGCCGGACAAGGCCGAAGACTGCAAAAAGCTCGGTGCGAAGGAAGTCATTGACACCAACAAGAAGGACTGGGCTAAGCCTTATGCCTTCAAGTTCGACTTCATGCTCAACTGCTCGGACATGACCAACGAGTTTGATCTGCAAACTTACCTGTCTACTCTCAAGGTCGGCGGTCATTTCCACATGGTCGGCCTGCCAGACAAGCCCCTGCCCCAGTTCCCCGCAGGCCTGTTCGCCAGCAACTCTGCCAAGATGTCTGGTAGCCATATCGGCAACAACCAGGAGATGAACGCTTTGCTGAAGTTGGCGGCCGAGAAGGGTATTGCACCTTGGGTTGAGACGATCGATATTTCCGAAGCGGGATGTAAGGAGGCTGTTGAGAGAGTGAAGGCGAACAAAGTCCATTACCGCTTCACCCTTGTCGGCCACCAGAAGGCGTTTGGTACCGCTTGAGTCTTTCTAAAGTAAGGTAGAGTTAGGAAAGTATAAATAGAGTATGTAGACATTGCCTTATTAGCAAATCCCTTTATCAGGACCTTTTCAGATGTTGAACTGGCTTGCAGTGACAATCTGCTTGGCCAGAGCAATGCTGGACGAAAGTCCCACTTGCTGGAAATTAGGTGTTGTTGAGTGAATAGTACGGCAGACTGCAAGAGGCACTCCGCCAAAACACTTTTTCTCAGTAGACTTACGGTAGCCGTACAATTAAGTACGCTAAAGTGCCCATACGTGCCCTATGTATAAATGAATATGATTACCAATCCCGTATAATATGGCAAGCAATTACTTGCGACCGGAGGCGCCGTAGATCACGTGAGGGTAGTTGACTGGGCGGTAGAAGTAGGGCCACCGGGGTCTATACCTCCTTACTAATTTCCACTGCCGATCAATTTTCTCTTTTTCCTACCTAACCCAATATTCCTTAAGAGAGGTAAGTAACCCGCCTACGCCCCCCCATTTACTTATATGCGATTGTATTTCGTTATACTATATTGTTATATTATATTCTGGCACAATAGCTTTGAGAGATAAGTGATAAAACTCTTATACAAGAGTATTAAATAGTTAATATTCATATGGAAGCAAGAATATATAAATATAGGGGTAGTTAAGCGTATATAAAAGAGGTTGATAAATGTAAAGAGAGTAACTTATATAATTAGATTACTATATGAGAAGTTGCTTGCTTAACGAATGGTCTAAGTAGGTAAAAAGATGCCCTTATATAGGCATAAGATCCTCCGACTAGAATATTTCATTGCTTATTAATTATATCATAATTAATAAGCATAACTTATACGTAAGTGAATGCGTAATCGTAATACGTAATACCTTTCAAGTAAATTCCAGCGCATTCTATTACCTTCCAGTGCCTTCTTTCGCTCACGTAAGCTTACATAACCAATCTTGCTTACGTAATAAATATCTATATTAATCTAGTTATAACTCTTATAAATTAATATGATATATAATATGCTTAACTACGTAATATAAATAATAAGGCAAATAATAAGGTAAAAGATCTACCTTTCCAACATATATTGCTTCACTTTCTGCTCTTTTTATTTCATCTATAACTAAGGATAATGATGTTACAACCCAACATGCATGACCAAGAACAGGGCCTGCCCCGCAGGCTCGCGGCGGTTATAATACACCACATATGCAGGAGATAAGGGACACTAGGCACCCTCTCACGGAACGGAAGAACTATGGTACAAGTCACGTGATGATAAGATAAGACATGAGCGGCCATGGTGGGGCCATGAGCGCTCATGCCAAGTAATGAGCGCTCATGCCGAACAATGAGCGCTCACCCGATCAGAGGAACTGATCATTGACAAGGGATATGTTCAGGACCAGGACTTGTATATAGGATGGACTCGAGCCGGACTCTAGGACAGACTTTCCATAGCTCTTCAGCAATTAACTTCGTATCAGGATTAACATCCGCTTTCAGCTACTACCTTGACAAGACTACGATTGATCACCGAAGCCTTACCTACCCTTACGATTGACAGACATAGTTTCCTTGAAACTATTCCACGACTACGATTACTGTTACCAGTTCCGCAGCCTCAACTTCTGCAAACTACCCCTACGACTAGCTGGCCGTAACACATTCCTAGGTTCTCTGCATATATCTAGTAGATAGCCGCCGCAGGCCTACAGGGCGGGCCCCCTTGGCCTTGTTATGCATGTTAGGTCGTAACATCTACTTAAAGGGTCTCCTTTCTTCCTCGGTCGCGTAGTGCACTTTTTATACTTAGGTTAAAGGGCTCGTACCTCACGTATCGGAAAATTTAATCGGTATATTATCGCGTAGGCGTAAATTACGGGCCGTAGAAAATAGATTTACTTATTGTACAGGTCGGCCGCGGTTTGTATACTCAATAGATTTAGATTTGCGGTCTTGCCATGAAGAAGTCGGTATAAGTAAAGGGTCCTTCGCTGGTCGTCAGGCGCTCGAGCCGTCCGGCCGGTCGACCGTCGAAGGCGTTACTAACGTGATAGACGCCTTCCCTCGTGAGATTCGAGAGGTCAAGGCAGCACGATTCCTCTATCCCGTTCGGTATTAGAGGGTCGTCTCTTCTGCTTTTGTGAGATGCCTTGCTGATCTACGATAGTGGAATTTAACCACTAATTAGTATTAATATCCCTATCACAGGGAAGTTGGTTCGAACCGTAGGGCCCTGGGGGTGACGAAGTATCAATATCTCTGTATTGATTGATTCTGCGTAATGTGTAAAAGGGAGATTCCAACCGTAGGTTGGTTGGGTAGTCGCAGTCTAATTGTACCACCTCGAGGTGGCCCATGCTCTTGCCCTTATCTGCGGTCGAATTGGACTTCCAATCCGACACCTTTGACTCAGATGTTTACTTTACATCAAGGTACACCAGTCTACGAAGTCATAAACTTCTCCCTGTGCCATTGATTACTCCACAACTTTTTATCCATGAATTTATACATCTGAGCACAGTACCTACATAAATACGACGGCTAGGTTTGATAACCCGGGCAGTCTTGCGTTATGAATTCTACGGCTTTAGATTATAGAAGGCGGTTGAAGATTTTCAAGGATCTTTCTGTATCATGCTGTCTCGAAAAGGGAACCCCCGAAATCTCACATCGGGTTATCTTCCTTTTGCAAACTCGAAATCATTTTGAAAGCTGTCATTGAGGTTTGCTTCGAATCACAAAACGCCCTAGTGACGTGGGTTAATACTGACAATTCATAATGAAACTCAATCCACTTAGATGTCATAGTATACATTTGAAATGTCTTGGACAAAGAGGTGGCCGCAAGATGGGGTTCAGTCCTTGATGCCTGAAAACCAATTCCCACAGCTCGGCGCCGTCATCTTTAAACCAGATCGGGAGGAATTCCCCTAGAAGCATATATGCATCTCCATTTCCGCTTCCGGGTTGTAACTGAATAATTTTGGACCACACTCCGCTCAAGTCACCGTTAATATCAAGATGAGCAATAATTTCATACCATTCAGTCGCTCCGGTCCACCAAAGGGAGATTGACTCACTCTCCATGTCGCAGTGAACCCAAATATTGGGGTCCGCACCGTGAAGGAGAAATATCTTTATGCCGTCGTAAAGCTCCGTGAACACGATCGATGTAATTATCCATGTTTGCCAGCAAGTAAAACTAGGCCACGGATTATCTGTGAGTAAAGATGCTCCATTGGGATCGGCCCCTGCTTCAAAACATAAGGATATTGTTGGAACAGCAAAGGCTGATAAGGAGTAATGGGAAGGTACCATGGGCTGGCTGGCACCTGCCCTGGGCGAAGTGGGACAACTGGCTTAGTCATCACGGCCGGATAAAGGTGGGGCAACCACCCAGGCCGTCACTACCTACTTCGACCGACTCCTGCCTACAGTGTAAGATAGAAGAACAACAAGACAAGAACAAGCAATAGGATCACCAACAGACGAGTGATAATTGCTACCACTATTTGTCGTATACGACCCCGTGAACCAACAGATATATATTCGCAAGGCCTCGTCTTATATCATAAGCCACTCGCGCGGTTAATTTGAGAAGTCCTACATGTATCGGCCAGGCAGAAGTCGAGAAGCACGTTGTAATACGTTTCCCGTTTGCTTCGACGTCCTAATTGGTAGAACCCACCATCCAAGCTGATCGGCCAGGAGTTTGCAACAAGATTGATGTGAACACCAATACCAAGGCTTCCATCAGTCTCTGTTGCGTAAACTAGCTCAGATAAATTGAATATTATCCATGGTGCAACTCTCGTGTTTGATCTGATACTTGGATTCTGGATCTGAACTTCCAGAGTGCGGATCAGTTCTTCAAAGAAAGTCAGCAGCCGATCTTGAGCCAACTCGCGAAAGTGAAAGCAACTCCTGACAAAATGCTGAATGCAATACTCCAGTATTCCTTGACGAACCCAGTGCAAGGATGGAATGGTTTCAAAGATGCCAAGAAAGCCTGGAGGCGGTAGTCAGCCACGTCGAAGGACTGAGCGTCGGCGTCAATGTCATTTTTGATGTGTGGCTGCAACAAAAACTCAACAAAGGACCGATGTGTGAATACCACCCGCTCACACGGAATTCAATGACTGATTCTCTTCTCGTCGAGGTACCACGCATGGTTGTGCAGGAATATATCGTCCCCATCATCGATGATTTCATGATTCCGTTCCCGGTGGATTCGTGCAGTGCCATTCTGCCGGCTGCCCTCGATTTCGTTGACGAGATTCTCGCTTATCTTGTACTCTTTCTCTTTGGATGATAGTATTTCTCTGACCCCATAAAGATAGTCTAGTGAACATACACCCCTCATCAATCGCGGTCGGACATCATGTCTAGAAGCGTTCACCTCAAGAAGTCCCATGCAGCATTGGTATACCGACCGTCTTGTTCTCTCTTGTCTAGAGATCCAAGTCTCGCTGGCGCCGGCTGCTATCGGAAGCTTGGTAACAAAGTTGGGGTCTTTGTCATAACTGTTTGGGAACCAAAGTTCTGTGAGCGGGAGGGCAGGTAATATTTGCATCCCGAGACCCTTCGTTGCAAGTAAAATCATTCGCATGGCCCTCATTCTATCCATTTTATTGATGTGGATTCCACTTCTAATCGAGAGGAAAATTGAGTTGAAGAGTTCTTCAAGGCCCACAGGCAAAGCTTTCAGTCTTGCTTCAAGGTCTCCTAGATGTTCTCCAGAAAGAAGGCCCCATTTAAGACCCCTCAAGGTGATCTTTACCCAAAGGAACACCCCTTCGGCTTTGAACTTGATCTGGTTGATGAGACGGGCCACTCGCGGTTCTTTCGAAGAATAGGATCTGAATTCTTCATTGTTGGATAATTCGCTGTTGATGTATGCTTCGGTGTCTCGGCTCGTGATGTCCCGGAGACGGATTCCAGGGCAGTTTATCAGCCTCTGTCGGAAAACTTCCCATTCTCGGCTTGAAACGCACAACTTTACATCTTCTGGGACTATCTCAGTCCAACTGCGAAATAGTTTTATCATCTTGTCGTGGTCTCCGTCAAACTCGTCCAGGCCGTCGATAAAGATTGCAACCTTGTGCGAAGAAAATAAATATGTTTGTCGCAGGAGACTAGTAAAGGCCAACTCAATATCAGAACTATGAATCCTGAACGCTCTTCCTTGCGTAGCATTTCTCCACTGCTTCGGGAATACGGTCTCGAGCAGGGCGGGGGCTTGCTCCAGGATAGAGTATGAAAGCGCTCGAAGGAGTCCGTCTAAAGACTTTTGAGTTGTGGACCCAAGCTTCCAGAAGAAGTTTGCCGAAATCAGTGTCTTTTCTCCAGCCCAGTCTTTGAGATATGATTTTGTCGCTGGGCTTTGGCAGAGGTACTTCATAAGCGTTGATTTGCCACCACCAGGCTTGCCGGAGACATGGAAGATGCCTCTACCATGAGCCAGCCAGTCTATGAGACCTTGCTGTGCCTGAAGCTCTGTAGTGGTTCGCTTCAAGGATATTTGTGGTTCGGAATCAGAATCAGAATCGGAAAGACCGTCTGATCTTGCATCAGGACCTGGTACCTGATGCTGTTCTGCATCGTAGCCATCGTTGTTCTGCGACTCATAGTCCCCTCGAGGCGCATGGTCTGATTCATTCCTGTGACTAGAAACGGACCCATCGATTGAACCAGACTCGCTTGTGGTCGTGGACGGTATCTCTGAGCCCAAAAGCCAGGAAAATGTCTTTTCGTGGGCGCGTTCAACCTCATCAAACCTCCTCGTCATGTCGCCAACGTAAAGCTTCTCCAGAATTAGGCGCTGGGCAGTCAGTGCCTTCGACAGCCTCATTCGAGCGGGACAGGATGCCATGGGCACTTTCCACCAAACCCGGAATGTGTTTCCACAACTCTACGTTGGACTGCAGTTTCTTGATATTCTCGCCCAATTGTTGCATTTCAGTTGCGTTGATGTGTCCTTGGGCCGAGATCTCATTGAGACGGCGACTCAGCTCCGATCTACGAATGGGGAAAAGGTTAGCCGCCATGCGCGCTATCTCCTCGTTGCTTAACCCAAGTGTTCTTACCTCGTAAGTTGAGTGAGCTGTAGATGGATCCTGGATCTGCAATCGTCCAACTCTTGCTGGTGTGTTTCCTTTTCATCCTTCTTCCGGAAATCCTTGACCATTTTAGATAGAATATGTCGCTTCTTCGTTGACTTCAGCCCAGCCAGGAGTGTCATCAGCTGAACTGTGAGACTTTTGTACTCCTCGACAAGATCCAGCAGTAGAGTCTCCTGCGCATCCCTTGCAGCGCCTACACCTCTTGTGTTGAGACCCGCGACATGTTCCTCGACGCGTTTGACTCGACGCTCTAGGTCTGCATTGTCTTTGAACGTCGCGGAACCAGTCCGTCCGATTTCTCGTGCCACCACAACATTCTCAGCCGCAAAGTCGATGAAGGTTATTACCGCACTGACGAGGCCGATAATCTCGAGGTTCCTCCTCGCATCGCCTTAATCTGAATCGATCACGATCACGTCAACCTCCCGTACCTCCTTCAACTCCCTCTTGGAGCCCTCCTCCCCTCCAAACTCCTTCTTCAACCTAGCCTCCAACCACCCCCCGAACCCAGCAAACATCCCAACCCCTTTCCAGCTCTCACAAAAAGCTCCCATAACTTCCATCCTGTCCTTCTCAACTTCCCTCATCCTTCCCTCCATCCACCTCCCTCCCCTTCCCCCCTCAACAATCTCCATCTCCCCCAATCCCCATACGAACTTGGCCTCACAAACCGGACAAAGGTACGGCGGCTGTCTCGAATCCTCACCTAACCCTCCCGTACCTTGCATAACGCAAGCGTAGTACACGCAGTGATCCATCCCAAGAGAGTGACCCACTTCATGAACCGCTGTCCTCGCAACACGTGAAAACCACATGCCGTACAGGTCCTCCTCCGCCTGCCTCTTATTCCGTGATGCTTCCCGTGATACGAGGGTATTTCTTGACGCGGAAATTGCAGCGCCCATAGCCGTCCCCTTCACCTTCCTCAAATCAACAAGAACCTCACCACCACCATCCTTCTCCTTCATTCTCCCTTTCTTCAACCTTCCATGTCCTTTCCCCTTCCCATCCATCCCCTCACCACCCTTACCTTCCTCTTTCTCCCTCTCCATCTCCTCCTGCTCCACCCACCACTCACACGCCTTCCTCACAAACCGTCCACAATGACTCGCAGGCCACCCATGCCCCCTCTCAACCCCCATAACCCCATCCATCGCAGGCCGATACCGAAATGAACTCACAGTACAAATCCGACTCCCCCAAACGCTCTACCACAACAGAAATCTTCATCTTCATCTTCATACAGATCCTGCGCGACGAGCATACACGCAGCATACGCGTCACCCGGGAGAACCCCTAAAAGCGCGTCGAGGAGGTCGTTGAGGTTGAGTTGGTATTTTGCGAGGCCGTCTGGGGAGGGGCGGCATCGGATCCCGATGACTGTTGCGTTGGCGGAAGATCCGGTTGCGAGACCGATCATGAATGGCTTCTTCTTTTGTTTCTCCTTGGACTTGCCGCGAGGGGGATTGCTCTCGTCATCCCACTTCACAAACCTGAACGCCGTGGGGAGAACCTTCACCTGAAGAGGATGATAAAACGCCTCAAAATACGAGACAACATCCTCAACCCTCGGCTGCTTCAACCCCCCTTCAAATCCATCCATTGCAGCCTCCTCCAGCTCAGGAACCTCCCACCCCCTCACCATCGCGGCGGTACCCTCCTCCACCGCCGGAAAATCAGCAATATAAAGCGTCTTCCTCCCCTCCGTAATCCGATTCCTCCACTACCCCGTCGCCCAAGACCTCAAACTCTGCGGCGGGTACCGAGGTTCCAGCGCGAGGTCGTCGTCGGGTAGAACAAGCGGACCGGGAAAAGTGGAGGGATCGGGTGCGGGGACGTCAGATCCGGACTCGGGGCCGGAAGAGGTGGAGTTGGAGACACCGGCGTCTGCACCCGCACCCGCAATCGGCACAACCCTCCCAGACCGCGTCGTCGCCGCAATGCGTTTCTTAACGGGTACGCGGGTGAATCCGGGTCTTGTGCGGCCGTATTCTGAGGCGTCGACGATGATGGATGTGTGTTGGCATGTTTTGGGTTGCTTTCGGGGTGCCATTTTGTGTGAAGTGGTAGCGTTCACGACTCGACGACTCCAGTGATGCGGTCGAGAGATGAGGTGAGTTGGTTTATAGGCCTCGTCGTCGACCTTCTCGTCAACGACTTTGCTGTGCCGCAGGATGACTCACACACGAAACCTCAATCTTTGAAAACTTTAAACGAGGTACTACTTTCATCACTGTCTGTGAAGCGATTCACGAGGTCGAGACGGATACTTGGCGGGGGGCCAAACGACCCCGCTTTCCGCGCTGCTGCCTACGATCCAAAAAAGCCATCAAAATCGAGTTATTTCCTTCATCTCACCTCACCTTGCCTTGCCTTGATCACCTGGTCTAGCTAGCTCCCTCGAATCCATCAAAAATCTACTGAGAACCGAGCCGCCTCGCGAACCCCAATGCCGCACCACGCAGCCTACCTTACCCTGTCAGGCATCACCCTCGCGCAAGAAGCTCGTCTCTAATTCACCTCAGTCGCTTCGCAACTCCGTCAGTTGCTAAGCTACCCTCCCGTCGCATGCTACATAACAAACTCAATACCGAACAAGGGCCATACAAGTCCTACGTAAAGGGGACGTCCGAAGAAAAAAAGCCTCCTACATCACATCCCATCCGAGCAAGGCCCCTCGGTCCCAAAGAACCTCCAAACCCCCACGCATCCCTCACCGTCCAAGATGCCACAGCTAAAGTCCTGGCCTTCGGACCCGGCATCCGCGGAATCTCTCCCCCCCAAACCTCCTGCCAAACCCCTCAAACAAAGGGTAAAATACTGCCTCACGCTCATGCTCAGACAGGACAGACAGGGCGCATAGATCCTCTCCAACCCGCGAAATCCCGTATCAGCCTTTCAACCTGCAGCCCAACTAAGGTAAGGCAAGGCACCAAACGGGGATAAAAAGGGCAAATGACAGGGCAGTCGAAACGTCCACCAGCGAAACGTCCACCAGCGAAACGTCCACCAGCGAAAAAAGAAGACGACATGCCGCTCGGCCAGGTCTAGACTCTTCCTCCGTGCTGTCTTCTCTCTCTCTGGTGCAGTGGTGCTGCCTCGAGGCTTGTGCCTACTGCCCACTGCCCCAGTGTCTGGCAGCATTTCATGCATGGCCGCGGTTCGACATGTCGCCTCCAATGTCGCGCTTGCGCTTGAGCAAACAAACCAGCATAGACCCTCTTGGCTCTCCTCTTCCTTGGGGATAATTCATACTGTACGAATAGACGCAGCACAACACAAACAAACCCGCGCCCGCACCGCCGGGACCGCAAATGCTTCCTCCTGCAACCACATGGACCGCGCAAACCCACCACCGCGGGTCTACCGTCCGTCCCGCATCCACATCCGCATCCGCATCCGCATCCGCCGTCCGTCGCAGCGTGGCATACCGACCCTATCTCCCCGTCGCGCCTCTTGCAGAATCTGGCATCGCTCCATCATCGTCCCCCGGGAGTAAATCTCCCCTTTCGCGGGATAATTATCCCCAAGAGCAATGATCACGTCAATGCCACTCTCAAAAGACAAAGAGCCCGCCTTCAGGCTCGCCATCACTCACCGGTCAGGTCAAGCATGCCCCATCAAACGCCCGCCATCTTCGCCCTCCCGCTCTTCCCGGGGCACACCAACCCATCACATCTCGTCACCAATTGCGCGCGCCCCGTCCCATCCCACGGTTTGCCTCCCGTTGGCCGGGCGAATGACGCGACGCCACACATACTTCGACATCCAGGAACCAAATAGCAACCGGTCTGGATGTATGCCTCGGGCGATCGCCCCAATCCATCCCCTGATTATTCGCGCGCAAGGAAAGTTCTCCCACATCGAGTGCAGTCGCCGTAGCCAACCACACCTCGGCAGAACTTCGTACGCGTCGTCGCGTGAAAGGGGGGAAAAAGCTAGACCGTCGCAAACTCTCGTGTAAAATGTTAGTGACAACCCAAAGAACCATGAAAATAGTCGAGTACACACAATATAGTGTGTAAGCTCACCTCACCACACCACACGCGTCGCCCGCGTCGCGGTTGTAGTTCTCGACACTTGAGTGCAAACCGCAAAAGTTGCCCGGTTCTGAAACCAGCCCGTCTTCCTCGGAATCCGACCTCCGCGAACCGTGGCACCAACCACACTGACCGAGCGCGTCCCACCCGCATCGACACCACCAACGTCCACACCTACGACACACCTCCACCCCATAGGCCGTCCCCCACGGAGGAGGGATGAACGTCCCCCAACGAACAGATGCAGTCTGCAGAGCATAAGATTATTTCGTCTCTTCTCACCACGACGGGGGCGCAAAGTTCAGTCCGCACGTCGCAGGGTCCTGCTCGTACCTGAACCCAAAATGGACGAGGACCCTGGTCTGCGATGCTGCATCCGAGGTATAACCGGACGTGGCATCGCTGCTGGCCACACGTGGTCCAATGGGGGAGCGAGGGTACCTGGTGAGTGACGGGATGTGATGTGATGGCCGCGGCGGCAGCAGCAGCAGCAGCATCAGCTGTGGCATCGCGTCGAAGGATCACCTTCATTCCCGACAATTGTTGAGCGGCAGAGCCGTGCATTGCGTTGCGCCTGACAAGACGTTGGGCAAATCCTTTCCCGGGCCCGCGGACTACCGTCAACGGTCACGACGCTGCATCTCGAAGGTGCCAGTGAGAAGGCATCGGTGTCATCGCCAACGACTTCCCTCCACCGGTTGGGCTTGAGATCAAAGTTGCAAAAGAAACCTCGTCCAGCCTTACCAGTCGATGATTTCTCGATCTGCCTAGGCCGGACCGAAATGTGAACCCAGCTCGAGGTTTCCGTAACCTAAGTTAATCGCTCGATATACCCATCAGTGCGTCGTCCCCTTACCCCGAGATCAATATCGATCGATTCCGGGATTTCGAATGTCTCGCAGCAAAAAAAAAAAAAGCACATCATCTCCAAGGTAAGACGTAGCAAGGTAGAAAATAGTCTGCGGCCTTCTGCTTATCGCTGGTTTGACGGGCGATCACGGGTCTCAGACATTGGTGGCGCCGAGCCTTTGCATCAACCCGCAGCATTCCTCGGTCCCGAAAGAATTTAGAGAAAAAAGAATTGTCCGAGTGAGCGTTCGCGCCAGTCCAAGCTGCCACGAGGGTGTAGGTGGTCTGTAAGGTACGGACGGGTGTTCAGAATTAGTATCGAATCCTTTGCTTTGCATAGCGCCTCGGTGTAAGTCAAACGAAGAAGAGAGGCCCAACGCGCAAAACTCGGCGATTCGCGTCTTCGCGCGCAAACTGCCGTCGCTTTGCTTCTCTATTGGCCAGTCCGGGCTTCAATGTCGGATTTTGGGCTTGCTGTCCCTATTGAGCAACGTATTATTGATTGACTTTGACGCTGCAGCGCCATACTTTGAATAGAGAAACGCAAAGGAGAGAAAGGCTTTTTCATGCTTCCCAAGCGGGAACTGGCTTTCCGTGCCTCTCCTAAGTGACTTCTCTCTCAATTGACTATTCAGCCTTCGAAGGGCGCCATGAAGGGTTTCCCAGGCACCGCCGCCGCCCCCAATATCAAGGACCCTTGGAATCTTGAGTCGTCGTCGCAGGAATATTCCTCTAAAGATTTTGACAGCTATTTGCAGTCACATCGAAATCCAGCCATGTTTCCGCTTCGGGAAAACTCGCCCGTGCACACACGCAATCGTGACACCAACTGTTGGCGCCGATGTCTCCCGCAACGCCTCGTGGCGTTGTGCGACGAGGGCCTCCAGAAAGAACACCACATCCTTTGCCACACGCCGCACCATAACGATGACCTGTAGAAAGGAAAGGCGAAACCACTTGGAAGCGCACCGAGCTCTACGGTAGGAAGACTGGAGACTTCGTTGCCTGATGTCTAGACACCCTGTTTGATCCGAACCGCCCGAAGACGGCCACTTCTCGATGCAGAGGACGTCTCATTGAGCGAACAAAATCGTGCACCTTGTGGAACTGTTCGCCGTTGCTACACTCGTATCTGCCGGCGTCAACTGTTGAGAAGTCTTAGTAGGTCCATGAACCATCATCATTACCAAATAGAGGAGGGGCCGCACGCGACATCAACTTTATCCAGGTGTCGATAACCTGGTTCCGAGGGAATCGTAAGCCGCTCCAACGGATGGCTTACAGGTAGAGGCGCCACGCCCCTCACCAACTACCCTCTTTGATCCCAAACATAGAAGTAACCTACCGCCACTGTATCATCCAAATTCGGTTGCCGTCGGGACCGTAGAATGAAAATTCTGTTCAATTTTTTTCTGTTGAGTTTCGAGTGCCGAACTTGGCTTGGTGGCTTGCCTACTGCGATGGGTCTGTGGCTTGCCGCCGACCGATGACTTTGAACTTCGAGAAAGGTCTTGCCGCATGCAGATTTTTCCAAACCGCCGACGATCAACTGTCAGAATCAATGTACCTTTTTTCCATTTCTTCTTCTTCTTTTTGCCCGAGTCCAGCCCGGTCCAAGGGCACCGGTCTTCCACGTAGACTCAACTCAAAGGCCAAAGTAAACCCACTCGAGCCTCCACGTCGGCCTCCTGTTCGGCCACAATCCCCCGTCAGAAATGCAGAATCATCGGTGCCTTACCCGGTCAGCCGGCATCGTTCTCTGACATGGATGTGTGCAACTTTTTTCAGTTCACATGTGAAGTGGGCACATCGAAGAGGCTGTTGGATCCTTATTCCTGTCGCCGACGGGGTTGGCTTCCTCGATGCAACCGTACGGACGAGGATAGAATCAGGCGGCACCGCTGTAAGGTGAGGCTTCCACGCGCGCTTCTACCGGAGCCCTAAGGCGAGAGCCCAGGCACCGGATGATACCCGTCATGCCCGTCACCGGCCACCCGTGTCTTCCCCTCTCGCTTCCGTCCCCTCTGCATTTGGCAAGTCAGCATCGGCGAATGGACTGTCAATCCAACCCTCCATCAGGGCACGACTAATGCAAGGGACGCAAGACCGAGGGGAAAAAAACCTCATCTCCAATCCAGGTACCGCACCGGCGGGCTTGGGAATATCGACTCAACAAGTGCAGACTGCAAAGATTGTGACGCTGCACCCCCTCTTCCGTGGACATGGCCGTACCAGTCAAATGCAAGCTTTGACCAAAATCAATGGCTACGCTCTCGTGAGGGTGTCGAACCCCAGGTGCCTCGGTCGGCCATGGTCCTGACCGGCTCCAATCCTGTCGAGGCTGGCCCGTCTCCGGTCGACGGCGCAGCCTTGAGGACTATTAGGTTAAGCACCTACGGGGTTTGCGCCGCTGGCCGGCTTCGAGAGGGGCGAACAGGTAGACACACGACCGTCGCAGTAAAAGCTCACGCCTTCGCTGCACATTCTGCCTGATGACGGGCAAAAAGGCACGAGAACCAACGAAAATAGGAGAGTGGGCTCCATGGCCCGCAAAAAGAGAACTCCATTCATCGTGATTATGATATAATCACAACTCATTAGATCGATTAGCCAAAGAGATGTCGTCAGAACTGTGGAGGCAATTGTTGGGCCTACCGCGCTCCTATCCTGGATTTCACCGGGGCTGACCGGCGTCCCTATTCGTAAACCACGCCGTTTGCTGAGTGAACCTAGGGCTGGACTAGAGCTCAGCGGCGTAAGGTGAAGCCAGCAATACCAGTCAAGAGTGTCGAGCATGTAAGCAAGCAAGCCTGTTCCGCTGCAGCAAGGAAGGATCTGTTGCCCCACCCAGAAATTCCACCGCCAGGCCTAGATGAAGTGATTCGAGAGACGAAAGCATCCGATGTACTACGGCACAGTAGTAAAAAATTTCTACCATGCCAGGAGGGGGAGGGGCGTAAAGGCAGGTCGACATTGGCACGAGCAACCATGCTCCCAGTTGATGACGGGAAACACGCTCGGGCAGCAGCTAGGTGCTGGCGGATAATGAGTATGAGGACGTGGCTACGTAGAAAGACATCGTTTGTAGGGACGGACTTTTGCGCAAGAAAATTGTAGCGGGATGTTGCATAGAACGGAGGCGTTTAGTATGTACAGGACAAGAAGAGAAAGGCCACTCCTGGCAAGCTCTCTCGGTGATAAGCCAATCTCCTGGCGATGACTTAATGGCCGGCCAGCGTCATGGGATTATTAGGGCGTCCCTGTCGCACAATGAGGGGGACAAGCTTTCGAATCATTGAGATGTTGCCGGTGTTCTGGCAACCCATAGGGACAGCTGTGCTCTTGCCTAGAGTTGGTAGTGGCCCGCGCTTGTGTCATACGGCTTTGACGTCGTGCCGATGCTGTGGCATCTGCCCTCGAGACTGGAGTAACAGGACGGGAAGCGGGATAGGAAGGGCGAGCCGACCAGCGTTGTCATCTGTGGAGCCACCTGATAGTGAGACTGCCCCTAGACCTCGATATCTTTGCAAAACGTGGAACAAGGTTTGCTTCCAACGTATATGACGATGCTGAAAGCCGCATGTGGTGCCATCATCCGAGGAGAAGCAACGATGGGGCGACTGGAAAGCGAGGTTGCATTCGAGTCGTCGTTGAAAATTCAAAATTTAGAAGTTGGCCAAAGTGGAGGACCCTTGTCAAGATGTTGGCGGAAAACGCCCGACACACGTGGTATTGGAGCTCAGACCTGCGAGTTGAGGGGGGCTCCGCGTCGTGATCTTGGCTTCATGGGCGTAGCGTGGTGTAAGTGTTTTGTGGCATCTCTTCTCAAGACAACACATGAACCACTGATGAGGGCAGTGCGATTTCGGAGCGACATATGGATACAGCTGTCAAAGAGAGAACCGAGATGTCGATGTTCAAGGAGAAGATGCTTCAGTTGAAGGGATGTGCGGAACGTAGTGGATGCAAACTGACTCTTGATGCTGGCTGAGTTTGGCCATGGTGAAGGCACGATGTGACCGTAATGCCAGCAAGCTGATTCAGGCTGAGCCTCGTCAACGCGCCGAACCCCTCGAAGCCGGCACGCCTTTTCGCAGGCTGCTCGTTGGAGCAGTCGGGAGCCTCAATGCAGGATGTAAAGTCTTGCCTTTAACGTCCTTAATCCAGGAACAGGAAGGGATCGACATACTGCAAGTCAACGAGTGCCTGAATTCGCATGGCTTGCCCATGTTTGTTGCCCAGGCGAAATGGCACACTCATCGAGGCGCTCCAGGACTTCGGGGCAGCACTGCACCTAGCGGCGGAAAACAAGGAGAGGGCGTCCGTCCCTCGGGCCTAGTCCTACCCCGCCCCGGCAGCATGCGTGCGTACGACGAGATGAGCGCCAAGCGCTTGACTGGACAAGATCCAGAAATCCGCCTAGAAGCAGAGTCATTCAACAAGCTCCATCCATCCCGTCAGCCTCGATGGAGGCGCTTCGTTGCCCCGAGTGAGGCTACCAGCGTTTCGCTACGATGTTCAGAACCTGCAACAATGGTCTCGCGCCATCGGATCTCCCTGTGGCAGCAACGCTTGGCAGGCAATACAGCCAGCGGACACGAGGCGCCGGCTGAATCAGGTCGAAGAGGGAGCCTGGCAACTGGCAATGCGCTTCTCTATGCGACCTCAGCTGTACGGATACGGCAGCATCGATACGTCGGCGGCTCGCGGGGAGAGGTCGACATTCCCCCCAGCCTTTCTTTTTCCAAAATTGCATTTGTCATTCAGATGGGATTTGTAGGCGGCAAACTGAGGCGGCTAGGTCTCCAGGGTTGGAACATGAAAGACCAGCGGATGCTGATGACCAAGGGATAGGGTGGAAATAGTTTCGCCCACCGATACTGACGGCCGAGGGAGCCAATGCAACGTCCAACCATCGCCTCCTGGTGTCCTGCACCTAGTCGTAGGCGTTCGACTGCTCTCTTATGGCAACCACTGCTAAGCCAACAGTGTTTACCTAGGCAGTCCGTAGGCGTCAGTCCGGCTGTTTGTTGTGGCGCATTGACCTGAGTGGGTATCTCCACGGCGGACCTTGTGAGAACAGGAAACTATCGTAGTGACAGCCGCTGCTATGACCTCTCCATGGATACCTGGTCTCAACCCTCGGTATCCAGTATGGGACTTTCGCAGGCCTCGTGAAGTTGCGATGGATGGTCCTGGCAGTGAGAGGATGGTGTAATATCGGACCAGGGCGCAGCACGTCATTCGCCAATTGCGTCGATTTGGACCACAGCTGACCGGAACCTGACTGGGTCTACCTTGACTTGACCATGCTCGACAATCGTCATTCCTCGGCCAGGTCCTGGTAACTCCAAGTACCTTGTTATGTGGTCACTGGCAACTTATCTAGATTCCACTGATTGCTCAGCCGCTCACCCATCGAGCGGGTCCATGTTAAACCTGTCAGTTGGTATCCGCTGCGGGCTGTATTGCTCAAAATGGTCCCGGCTTCTTGGAATTGAGGGCGTTAGGTTGGGTTCGAAGCATGCTCCAAGCTTCCGAGCTACCAATACCGTCAATTCAAAGTTTCTTGGTGATGGTCGCAGTACGGATATGATAGGAGCAAACACGTTGATGGAGTCTTGTCGTTCTATCCATGGCCAATCAGCTTCCGCCTGAAGGCTCCTGAAAGGTTGGTTGGCCCGCAAAGTTCAGACCTTCCGCTCAAAGTTGTGGCTCGCCATTTACCACCATTGTCGAACGAATCCTGACTCTTGCGTCCCGACTTGCGAGTTGCGACTGCGGCAGCGTTGCTCAGAGATGCCGCTCCCAAATTCCATCGTATCGTTCCATGCTATTCCATCAGCACCCATCGCCTAGGGGTTGGTCACTATGCCTGAGCAGGAAGGAGGAAGCCACATTGCTCCCCGCGCCACAGCGTTGCGTTACCCGCCAACCTGGAACATACCCGCTCGCAGGTTGGCAGGGTCGAGGGGACGAAGACACCCTAGGGCGCAACGAAAGGCGGGTGAATCTTGACTGGAGAAAGAAATTCATGTGCCGAAAACGGACTGAGGGGCCGCCGAGATCCTTCAAGGTCTTTGTCGTTTGCGATGCTCGCCCAGAAGAGAATACCCACTGCGTAGAGATAGATGCTGGCAGTCCTTGATCTTGACGAGCCGACGTGCCGACCTATCCAGTGATTCTCCATGGTGGACCGCACAGGCCGACGTCGCTGAAGGACTTATCAGGCCTTCGATGGCTGCGGTGATTAATACCCAACAATGGACCAATGCCCCAAACCACAAATGGTAGCAAGCACTAAGAAATCTAATCCACGTTGTTCTTTGTTGTGCTCCGAGGTCCGCAGTCTCCGGGGCTTCAATGGTTGTGTCCATATCCGTAGCCAGAGAGCTTGGTCGCTGCGCAGTGGGGTTACGGACCTCTCCCTGGCCGACAGCTGGGGAAGTAATGAAGCCCTGGTCCCTGTTGACTTCGAACCCAATCAAGCGACCAAAAAGCTGAGAACAACTCGACAATCCACCTCCAAGCAAGCGAGAAGTCTTGGAGAATGGAGATGGCTAATATGAAAGAGCCCATCGGGCAAACTGATGTCTGTTGTGAGAAATGGTCGGTTTGGGAGTCGAACGTTTGCGCAGCGCACGACGCTATGGCACCGAACTCTTGGGATTTGGGGTGCCGCCCGGAGTACACAACCGAGTCAAATGCTGCTGCAGGACCAGCCACTCCTCATTTTCCGTGCTTGTCTGAACCTTAGGGCGGCAAAATATTGAGTTATCCCTGGTCGTTGTTCCTCAGAGCACCATCGGCTCGTTGACGAGTCCTCCGTGCACTCAATAGATAGGCCTTGAAGTGACTGATGAGTGGGTGGGCAACTTGTCATTGGGTCAAGCGACTGTGATGGTCGACCTCGTAATGGCTAGATCATTGTGCATGCATAAAGCAAACGAATCCAGCCGAGTTGTGCAGATCCGCCGGAACCCTGCTCAAATGTGGTCGCCAGCTGTCATGTCCACCGGGCTCTTGGAGCCGGTCCCAAAATCGGCAGAGCAGGATCCATTGGGGTGGAGAGAGAGAAGGCCCAGAACACAGTCCAGCACGTCGTGCCGAGAAATAGTGTACGGATACGTATCTTTGGTTCAACCGCGGTGCATCGGCAGCAGCTCTGTGAACGCGATGGAGACTGGAGTCGGCCATTATCCATTCAGCTGTCAGTGGCTGTCGGCTTCCAAACGTCTCCCGCGAACCCTCCTCCGGCCAACGGGGAGCACAATCCGTACCAGGGATGAGGGGACCATGTGCGAAGACGCTTGTCCGTTTCTGTAGCCCCGGTCAAAGCAGAGGAAAACGTTGAACCTGAACCTGGTACCCTAGTCGAACCGACAAACAAGGGGAGGGGAGGGAAGGAGGCCGAGCTATGATCCCTGATGGCGAAGGAAACGAAACGGAATTGGGGTTAGTGTTCTCGGAACAACAGAGGCAGTGCCAAAGCAGGGCAAAACAGACGGCGGAACCTAAGCCGAAGCGGCAGGAGGGCATGCCGTCACCGTTGACGGGTGGATGCAGAGAAAAGGTCTGCTGCGTAGGTATTCGTAGTTCGAGTTACTGTTACCTATGTCTGCCGGACAAGGAAATGCGGACTGTGAGGAGAGAAGAGGGGGCGGCGAAGGAGGCGTTGAGGAAAGTCTGGAGGAACAACATCCGTACTTCGCACACGTCAGTCGTATCCGGGACCCAAGACTCACAGCTAGATACCTCAAACCAACGATGGGCATTGAGGCTCCAGCATTCCCAGCAACGAAGAACGTGAAAGCCAGGTTGGGCGGGCAGTAGATGGGGGGAAGAAGCCCTGGACCCTGCCCCGCTCCCTGTCTATTCTGCCATTGACCGGCGCATGTCCATTGGTGTCCGTCGCTCCGTTGCAGCAGCGTTGCTATCGATGGACTGGCAGCCGCTCAACCGTTGTGCAGAGGCTGCAGAGGTTGCAGAAGAAGGCCGAAGTACTCCGTATGGGAATTGGGGATTCGACCGACGGTTGGCTGCTGCATGGTCTGCTTTGCGACGTCCACTGCACATGAGTTGACGGTAGCATAGCCGGGAGTTGTCGAGCTTCGAAATGTGTGAGCAACTTCGCCAATGGCATCATCCTGCTTATGTACTGCACGCGACAACCACGCAGAGTGCCACCAGGAAATCGGCAGCGTAAATTGCCCAAGGCATTGAAACCGGTAGGTGGTTGAAGACTCGGGAATCTGAGGTACGTATTCTCGGTGTCAGTACGGAGTAGAATGCCGCCAATGGTACGGAGTATGGTGTTGCGGGTTGGTTGATTGACAACACAAAACCCCGATGAACTACTTTTGCGAAGCTAGCGTGCTAGCTTTGCGCACCGCGTTCTGCCGTACCGTTGGCATAGCAGTGACGCAGCTTAAGTGGTTTGAGAATCGCCTCCCTTTCGTCGCAGAGTCAGGTTCAGTCTCTCCAGGTGGTGGACTAAACCAACTACCATGGAAACAGGAGAGTCACGTCAGCCGTACTGTCTTGCTCTGTTCCGCCGGTGTCTTGAATGTCGGAACGGGAGTCAGCCCCAGGAGGTGTCAACGGTGGAGACGAACAATTGGTGCCGTCGGAGCATGACTCCATCCGTTGCCTCTGCTGCGTCCATTGAAATCCTCGTTGGCAACGCCTTTTAGTATCCGTATACTCCGTGGGCTAGCAGGTATCCATCCATATGGAGACGTATTTTCCCCATTCCAAAGGAAGTCCCCCGCCAACGTCGAAGAGTTGAGGGCAAGCCGAACATGGAACATGAGAACGTGGCTCCGGTGTACTGTCTAGGGCACAGCGCAAAACCCTGAAAGGCTTGGGCCGTCCTTGAGGCAGAGATCTCTGACCGCCGCGTCAACCCATCGACCCAGCAGCAGAGGCGGAGGCAGAGAGGCAGAGAGAAAGGCATGGAGGCGCTTGAGAGAACTCCTCCACTCTCCTCCTCCACAATGAGCCTGGGGCCTTGGGCTTAGTCGACGGCGGCACACAGACCAAGAGGATGAGAGGTTAAGCTGCATCTGGCGTAGAGCGGGTCGCTGTAGTTGGGTATGCTTGTTGGCCATGGTAAAGAGAACCGAAAGGCGGACTCATAAGCCCTTCTTTTCTTCTCTTGCCCTGGGAAGTGACTTTGAAAGAGACGGGGGTTGGCCGTGCCGAGAGAGTAAGGAAAGAGAGACAAAGACAGAAAAGAAAGAATACCACGAAACGACAGAGGCGCCCTGGTGCAGCAGTTTCCGTGCGTCTCGGAGGGCAGAGCAAGAGGCAAGAGAAGCGAAAGCGTATCCGCAGGCGATGTCCGGAGAAAATTGCAAATGCCCTGATGATTGATTGTGTGCATCCGTAGGTGAACGGTAGAGTTGGAGTATCTGAGGTGTCTACCGGCATCGTGGGGCTTGGCTGGGGAGTGAGGGAAAAGTGTGCAACAATGACTCCCAACTGAGGTGCAGCAAAAAATGACCAAACCAGCAAAAAGTCCCCTCCTCCGTTCCTGCTCTTTGTCATCCTCGCCTTCCAACCTTGGTCCTGCCATTCTCGACTGACTTGACTAGAGTTGTTGATAGACAATGGCTCCCTCCTTCCCTCCACCATCAGATGCAGCAATTCACTGTGGTATTACACGCACGGAAGGAGAGAAAATAAGGCAAGTAGACCTGGCCTTCCTCCTTCCTTCCATCCTCCCATCCATCGCACCTTGCACATGGTAGCAGTTCGCTCCTTCCCTTCCTTGCCTGACCTCACCATGCTTGTACCTACGTACCTCCTCTTCTGACCGGGATCAGGGCAAGAATGCCCAGAACGCAAGGAAGGAAAGGCCTTGAGAGATACGTATCTTTCGCTCCATGTCTCTCTGCCTTCCCAGTCTGTGTCTGCTGCAGGTATCCCACTCAGTCAGGTTAAAAGAAGTACGTACCGCAGTCAGGTATCCAATGTTGTTTTTTCCTCCTTCCCCTCCAGACTCCAGTTGCCCTCCTGCGGACCTGCCCTCCAAAGAAAAACACACCAGACAAGGTAAGCACAGAAAAGTTAGCTTGGATCTTAGGTTGGGTTTTTAACTAAGACAAGGAAGGTAAGCTTGAGTTTCCCACCAAGCCTTTTCATCCTAGCTCCCGGCCACCGTCTTCCACACCCCCCGGTTCTTTTTTTTTATCACCCCCCTGCTGCCTCTACCTTAGGTACTTCGTCTCCACTTTCCTCGCCCACTTCGCCCACGCAGTTCGCTCGGTGTCTTGAACTTCTTCCTAATTCTTTGTTTTCTTCGTCGCCGTCACTGCGGAAAACTCGCACATACCCCCCTTCCCCCCACCCCCCCGTCCGGACCCACGCCCACTGCCCACATTGGATCGCACCCTGCCTTGCCTCTCTACCTTGTCTTCCTTGCCGACTGCCACCCGTCTGTCCTGTCCAAACATTTTCTTCTCCCACCCTCCTTGGGGGAAATATCACCTGGCTGGGAACCCATCGCCGTCTGGTCTGGTCTTGTCTCGACTTGTTTTCCGTCCGTCATCTCTTCTCTCGTAGAAGCATAGTCACTCGTCGCAAACCATAAGCTAGCACCCGTCGCCAGTCGTTCCATCCCCCTCTTAGACTCTAGACTTGTTCTGTTGTCTAACCCAGCAACACCTCCACGCCCTCATATATCGACGACCGCCTCACCTCACGTCTAGGCCTTTGCGTTACGAACCCCCATTCCCCGCGACCCTTCAACGACGTTGTCATCCCCTCACGTGTGCGCCCTGCAGCAAAACCCGGAGCTATCAAGTCAAGTGTCGCATTGGGTCCATCTTCACCCCCATTTGATTGGAAGAGGAGGCATCTGCACCGAGGAAACAACGCACGCATAACCAACCCAAATTCCTGCTGGACCCCCAGTACCAGCACACTCACGCCCAACCACCGCCAGACAGGCCGAGGTACCCTGCACCAGTTTCGTACACGTGGGACGACTTACCGCCCTTGACAAACGGCCGGCTCGAACATCTGATTCCAATTCATTGGAGAAAACCAGGGCATTTCCATAGCGCTTCTACACAGCCGTCACTCACTCAGTCACGACAACCATCACCGCCTCCGAGGGGAAGGAAAAAAAAGAGTTCGAAACAGCACAACGCCACGTCGCTGTTGTCGGCTGGGGGAAAGAGAGACAACATAAGCCGCCAGTACAGGATCACGAGAATGTGGAGTGGGAAGATCCGGCTGACAGGAACCATCTGAGTGGCGTCGGCATCGACCAAGTACGCCCCAAAGAGTACTTACACCAGACCAAACCCCCAACACACCCACTTCGCGACAACAACGGCAACCTTACACGACTTGAAATCGGATACTAATCGCAAGTGTACCTGGAATGACATCGGATAAGAATACCTGGCACAACATATTTGCTTCATCTCATCATCACCGCAGCCACAGCAGTATCTCTCTGTTCAACCCAACGCCTGGCTACCCCACCGCCCCGACCAAGATATAACCAAACAACACAAAGCCCCGAACATCCAACCTCGACATCTGACGCAATAGTACCAATAGTGTATCGTCTTCAACCTTGCTAAGCAATCCATATTCTTCGGGCAGACATCATGTCTCCCAAGTTGAAGCCATTGCTGCTACCTCAGCTTGTTGAAGAACGTCGCAAATTCGAAGAGCAACAGCCCGAGTTCCCAGAAGGCGAAATGGACCGCCAGTACGTCTACTATACGACCAACTCCTCATCCTCCGACGTTGCATCACCCGTCACACCTACCTTCTCAACGCGAGGACATCTACGCTACTCCAGCTCATCTTCATCGCTTGACCTCCCGCCCACCTGCGTCGTTGAAAGCCCATCGTCACCAACTTCAACTATCCACACAAAGTCCTCTAAAAGGCCACTTCCCGATGTGCAAGAGGAGCCATTGGAGCGGGACGAACTTGACGAAAGCACCATTCTCGCCGAGCCATTTGACTTGTACAACTGCTTGTGTAAGTCGGCTTTTGCTTCTAGTCACTCGCCCAGTACTAATATGACTCATTAGGTGACGAGCCTTGCATCCACCACGAAAGCTCCGAGACGCTCAACAGTGTGTACCCTGCCGACTTTGATATCGACTATGACCTCGGATTCGCGAGTGATGGCGATTTTACGTCCACATTGGATAGAAAGAGGAGTGGCACCGAATCACCCTTCTCCGGCTTGGCCACACGTTTGGGATCGCGGTTCCCACAGCTCTCGCGATGGAAGTCTACGAAGCGGGCAAACTTGACTGCTTCTCCTACCACCGAGCTGACGTTTGAGAACGCTCACCCTGTTTCTCGTGCGGCATCATCGAGCCGATCTTCCTCCTTGTCTGGCCCTACGCGGCAGATACTCGACAGGCTTAACGAGTACCCGATCCCAACTCCCGCCACATCCTTCTGGGAAAGTACTGAAAGCGTGGATTCTCCGGCTCCCATCGATATTGAAAAGGCCAACAACGAGAGAGAGAGCATCGAGCGTGATCGAGCTCTTGCCGCAACACCTCTGCTTCCTCCCCTTTTGATGAACAGCCCGCCAACAGAAGTTCCCCATCCCAGTCCTCTGCAATCTCCCAGCGTGGCTCCGTCAACCCTCTCCATGGAAATTCCCTCCCCTCAGCCGCTTCCTCAGATGTCTACGCCCTCGCTGAGCGCGAAGCCGTCAGTGTCTTCGTTCCGCCACGTACAATCGAGCCAAGAGCTACCCATTGGATTCCCTTCCATTGTTCAGGACCACGATGAGTGGTCAGATCGCCTTGGACACGCCAACTTCACCATCACCCCGCAACCTTACCAACCTGTGGAGGCCGACATGGAGACTCTCCGTCTCTTGCGAGCAGACTGGGAAGCCGCACGCGTCAGCTATACCAAGCACCTTGTGCGGACTGGCGAAAACTATAGCGAGACTTCCAAGATTTACGCGCTCACTGAGGCGAAGTGGGCTGAGACTGAGAAGAACTGGCGAACCTTCCACGAGCAGACGATGGAGCGCATCGTTGCTGCCAACAAGTCGAGCAACCAACGCCCGGGAAGCTCCCGCAGCCGCAGTCGTGGTCGTGTTCGCGCCAGCAGTGGCGGCTCTGCCATACTGCGCAGACCTACCCAGGACGATGACTTTGCCAATATGCAATGGCGCCGCCTCGAAGATGGTCTCCCCACCGCAATTCCTCGACTCGTTGACGCTGAGGGCAAGTTCCCTGAGCGTGGCGATGAAGACATCGTCGGGCCTATGGAGCGCGACACGAAAATGATTCGCTCCAGGAGCGAGGAGCGCAAGGGTGGCCGTTTCTGGCGCAACCTGGCTGAAAAGGTTGGCATTCGCAGATGATGCTGCCTTTGGTGAAACATATCCCCTTCCTATACAAGATCTACACCGTCACTTCCAACACCCAGTTGGCGGCTCAAAGATCTACTGTAACGATTAACGACCCCGAAACAACGATGATGATAACACGCCGCTCACATCGGAGACCACTATCCTTTTTTCGAGTTTATCCTTTACACAAGATACCCGACTATCGTCGCTCCTTTTACCACCACGCCTCGACTAGGCCACGTCTTACGACATCTTACGAACCAACCTTTCCTTTTATCGCGTTTTTTTTCTTGGTTTCAACCACCACAAATCTTATTGTTTATGTTTATTATCTAGTATTCTTATTGTTTAAAATAGCAAGCGCCCAAGCCGGCGCTGCAAAGCCTGTAGATATTTTCTTTCTTACGGGAGGAACATATGGAGCCACTGGAAGGAGTGTTCAAAAAGATGGAGAAAAATACTAGACTTGGGGAAAAACCGCAACGGAGTTGCAGACCTAGGCCCACGGGATAAAGTGGCAGCCTGTTTATTGGATTTACTTGGGCGTTCCACAGGCGCAAAGCTCGGCGCTACGGTGGGACCGAGCCCAGCCGTCTTGTACAGACTTGTTTCTTTGATTTTGGACTCTACAACATTGGAGAGTCCTGCTGCGACTATCTTTGGTCGTAGTTTCAAGCCTCCAGCCTAGAGCTGTGAGTGACTGGTGTTGGGTGGTGAATAGACTTCCATCACATGGTGGCCTAAAATAAACCTACTTGAATACCTACCATTCGTCCAAAGCTCTCGCGCTCGTGTTCGTGTCTTGATTCACACCATCTTGTGATGTATGCCTCGTATGAAGCCCGGTGTGGTGTGCCCGGTAGACTGGATGGTCAGCTCATCGCATTTCATCAGCCGCTGGGCATACTTGGGGAATCACGACATCCCCCCCTCCTCTTGGTGAGCTACCTTTACCTAAGATAGGTGACATGTCAACCCGACCCCTCGCTTCGTACCCTCGCCCACCGCGTCGCGATCGCGACGGATGTAACGCTGTCGATCGCCGGGGTGTCGACCCCGCGGCAAGCGGACCATCGCCCGGAGGGGGGGGGGGGAGGTTGCTAGCTTTTGCCGACCCCCGCGCCAGCACTACATAAGGTACATAGTAGGCAGAAAGTACCTATCCGGAAGTGGACGTCGCCCATTCAGTGTCTCCTCGGCAGCCGTCAGCATTTTGCGTGCGTTTGGGGGGGTTGTGATTTTCGCATCTGCCGCTGACAGGTGCGCGTCTTGCATTGCATGGTAAGGGAAGAATAGATTGCCATGTTGCAGCGGCGGCGGCGGCGGCGGCGGCAGTAATTCCGTCGGAGATGGGACTGGGGAAGGATGAGGTATGTCGAGGCGGCTCTGGGGAGGACTGGATGGAGTCTGGGCTGGGCTGGACTCTGAGGGTGAGAATTGTGGACGTTTGACGCCACGTGTTTCAGATGCAGGTCGCCGTGACTTTCGCTGGAAAGAGAGTGGGAGGTTGGATGTGTTGGAGATGGAGAGTAGTTGTATGTTAGGCTTGCTGCCTTGGAGGTGGAATGGGTTTGGTGGGGGACAGAGGAGGATGGATGATCGAGGTATGAGGTATGAGGGGCTACGGGGTAGTGATGGCGGCTGTTTGCAGATTCTGCTGCGGGTTGCCTTTTTTGCACTTTTGCTATCTGTTCTCCTCGGGCCGGTTCTTGTTCAAGAGTTCTTGTTTCCTCGGTGCCCTCTTTGAGTGGGGGGATGAAGCTGCCGATGATGGTGAGTGTGGTGGCGCAGTTTGAGGTTCGTGGTAGTCAGCGAGTTCCAGGGGGTCGGGTGGGAATTCTTTCTGGCGTTTGTGTGGTCGGTTGGGATATCTGGCTACCGTGATAGCAAGCCTTTTGACAAAAGACTTGGAGAGGTGGAGGCTGGGGTGCCGGGAGGGTAGGTGCAGGCGAGAAGGGGGCGTTAATGGCGTTTTCTGCGGCTGATGAAACATGATGGCAAAGATGGGAAGATCGTTTGGATGAGACGGATTCCGGGGAGGAGGGGGAATGCAAGCAGCTCGCCGAGCACGGTGCGGAGGGTTCGGAGGGGGAGAAGCGAGCGGGATGGATGGGTGTCTCTCTTACTTTTCCGGTTCAACTTTTCTTCCGGCGGAATGGCGAAATGTGACTACTCAGGTTTCAACTTCGGAACGGGACGTGGCGGACGGGGATGGGGGCTCTTGGCGTTGGTTGTGGGAGGGAGAGGAGGTTCGGAGCTGAGCTGATGGTCCGGGTACAGTTACAGGTAAGTAGGCAGATGGGAAAATGTGACAGATGTCAGATGTGAAAATGACCGATGAAGACGAGGCTGAATCCGAGCCCTAGAGGGAAGGGGGAAGAGAGGGGGTATGCGGGCGTGATGTGGCAACGGAGACGGGCAGGTGCATTGCCGAGACGCCATGCGCCGGGCGCCGGGCGGTGGCTTTTCTGAATGACGGAGAATCATTCGATTTTGGGAGAGGGGAGAAGGAGAGAAGGGGGGGAGGATGCTATTATTGGGAACGGGTGGTGGAATGAAGCCGGGCCGGATGTCAGATGGAATTGGGTCCCAACTGATGTTCGGACCGGGCCGTGGTCGTTGCTAGTCGGGATCGGGTTACGGAGGTTGGATGTGGGGCGTGTTCGGATGAGGTGGGTTGTTTGGCGGGTTAGTATGTTCCTGGCTCCGTGGCTATCCATCGGTCTTCCCAAGACAACGAACGACATGACTCTGTTTTGCTGAGTTACAGATGAGCCTTCAGATTACGGGGAACTTTTAACCTACCTATCCAAGTCAACAAGCAGTGAGTTAACGTATTGGGAGTGCGGGAGTCCATGCCGCAAGGCTACCTTATTAGAAGTGTCAAGATAAAAGTAGATCTTATGAATGAGAACATATCGCTATCGCTAGGTTTCATCCGTAGTTATAAAGAAGGGAAAGCTAAAAAGCTATTTATAAATAAAAAGAGATTAATTTTATTAAAATAAAGATTGTATACAGAGTGCCGCTTTACACCTAAATAATTGGCTCTAAAGTAAAAAAAAAAAAATCAGATAAATAAAAGAGAATATTAGGTCAAAATAAGTAAGCCAGCCCTTTAAAAAGAAGGTTTACGACACAGAATTAAATCCTCGCTGGGAATATCTGGGAAGAAAACAAACGGGCCAGTGCGGCTAGGGAGATGTGAGCAATGGAAATGGACACTGAGACTTGATCTATGGCGTAACGTCGGGGGCGCCCCTTCTCACATTTGTGTTTTACCAGGGATTCGTGACTAGGGATGCCATTTCTTGCTGGGAGAATTTGAGACGTCCACCTCAAATCCTCATCATCTCCCCTTCGAAAATATTGAGCGCAGTCTAATATACATTCTGGATTGCCTCACAAACATACTTTCACGTCCGCAAGCTTTGGGCATAATTTCCGTCCCCGTCAGCGCCTCGTCCTGCGTAGCCGGGGCGTCGAACCGCTGCCTCAATTGTCTGTGTTAAAATTCTGCATGCAGGCTTGTCAGCTCAAGGCATTCTTGTATACTGTGGCGAAGGTTTAGTTGGCAAATCATACCTCTGGGACAGACAGAATTCTGTACAAGGTTTTTGCTGAAGATCCCGCGAAAGTTCCAGTACTCTTCTCCAAGGAACGCAGTGACATATCCGCTCCGTGACGTATGAGCTTTTCCGTCACAGGCCAGTATGGCCTTAATTCTTCGATATATGTCTGTTTACTGAGACTTCCCCTACGGCTGAGCACGAGCAAGCGAAGAAACCAAGCTGACCAGATGGTTGGGCAGTAGTCATCGACCGGGAAGTTGGGATCGGCACCCTTTTCTAGACAAAGGCTGACCATTTCCACCTTGATTGCACGGACCGGAGCTGCGAATAGCGCATCCATAAGGAGTGGCCAGTACAAATGAGGGCGTTTGACTGGTGGATTGGAGGACCCGATCCTTCTGTGGAATGCGTTCTTGAGTCGAGATATCATGGTCGTCCTGGATTCCGCGATGAAATCTTGCGCAATGCGACGACGTTCGAGGCATCCAACAGTTGTCTTCTCCTTGACATACTCCATCACTCCGAACCGTACCGCAAGTGCCAGGAAGCCATCACCAATCATACCGATCAGAATACGCTTCGGCTTCATTGCTAGGATTATTATGTCCGGTGAACCAGTTCAAGGAACGATAGAAATTCGCGCGTTCATTTTCATCATTGCGTATCAGCTGAGTAGATGCATCGCATAGAGCGTCGAGTATCTATAAAGCTATTCAAGCCGTGGGCAAGAGACGGACTAATCAGGGTAGGGGAGCCCCTTGGTGGACAGAAGAGTGCTCAGAAGCCCACCAAGCTGCTATTAAGGCTAGGCGCCAACAGGCCCAAGAACCTGGGCTAGTCATACCTCCCCCTTTCCTAGAAGAGCAAAAGGTCTTCTTAACAACCGTCAGAAGGGCAAAACGCGCCTACTGGACTACTAAGACCAAAGAGGCTAAGACAGACCAAGACCTATATAAAATCCTAGGCTAGCGGAAGTCTAGCCTAGTAGTCAAGTCTCCACCTCTAATAGTGGAAGGGCAGACGATCAGCAATACCTACGATAAAGCCCAAGCCTTACGGAAGGCTCTGCTAGAGCGATTCAGTACTACAGATAACCTACCTAGGAACCCTTTTACTATCCCAGTCGTTACAAGGCGTCTCATACCCTGGCAGGATATGGTCAGCATAAAAGAAATACGCCAGGCTACTTTAACAGAGACTATAACCCCTAGGTCGGATAGGATTACTACAAAGCTACTACAGTACACCTAGATATTAGTAGCTAGGCCTATACAGCAGCTCTTCCAGGCCTATATCCAAGTAGGCTACTTCCCTAGACCCTTCCGCAAAGCAGAGGTCGTTATGATCCAGAAGCCAGAGAAAACAGACTTCTCTAAGACCGGATCTTAGCGCCCAATATTCCTATTATCCTACTTAGGCAAAGGCTTAGAGCGGCTAATAGCAAAAAGAATAGCCTACCTTACCATCCTAGAAGGGGTTGCCAGCCCACAGCAGGTTGGAGCCCTACCAGGAAGGGCTGCAGTCGACCTAATAACCTGTCTAACCCATGAGATAGAAAAGGCTCTAATCATGGGGCTTACCGCCACTCTAGTAACAATGGACATCAAGGGGGCATTTGATTCTGTCTTACGAAACCGACTTATTATCAAACTACAACAACAAGGCTGGCCTAGTAGTCTAATTAGGCTAATCTTTACCTTTACTACTAGTCGAACAGCCCGGATCAGGCTAGAGGATACAAGCACAGAAGATTTTCCTCTATCCTGCGGGCTACCACAAAGGTCCCCAATATCCCCTATCCTCTTCCTACTATATATAGCTAATATCCTAGCTAACGACCGGAAGCTACGGTTCGGTTATACAGACGATTTAGGTCTACTTGTCGCAAAAACGACGCCGTTAATTACGGGCAGCAATTAACGCCATATATACCCTACGACACTACTAGCTATCAGCCCGTTGCTAGAAAGTAACGCTATAGCCCTAGGCCAAGAGATTACTTATATCCTCAACTAGGGCACTAATAACAAGGTTGCCTTTAACCCAGCTAAGTATGAGGCAGTCCACTTCAGCAGGAGACATAAGCGAACAAGGGACCTACCAGACATACAAGCGAAGGGCCTAACTACTACGACCTCAACTAAACCTATACGGTGGCTATGGGTCTAGTTTAACAAGAGACTCACCTTCCGACACCAATATGGAAACAAAGGTAGCAGCGGCAAAAAAGGTAGCCCAGTTCCTACGGCATCTAATAAACACGAAAGGAGGGCTCCCAGCGGCTGCTGTGCGTAAAGCGGTCATCGCCTATATCCTCCCAATAGCCCTATATGGAGCTGAGACCTGGTATGCAGGCTTGAACAAGCCAGCCCTAAACAGCAACAGCAATACTAGCAGGAGTACTGCTATGCAGATATCTACTATTGGTACGGGACAGAAGGGCCTGGTCCGCAAAGTCGGCAAAGTTATTATAGCAGCGGCAAGGGCTATCCTACCTGTCTAGAGGACCACACCAACTAGCAGCCTCCTTCGAGAGGCTGGCCTACCCACAGCAGAGGTAGCCCTCGAAGCAGCACGACTACGCTTCGCTACACGGCTACAGAAGATAGACTAACAACATCCCTTGATCCCAAGGCTCTAGCAGCAAGGGCGGCAACAGACAAGACTTCAAAGAACAGCTAGCCTCTTACCTAAATACCCAAGGCCTTTACTCATACAGCCGCAATACCCCCAAGGCTCACAAGACCTCATAGCCCTAGAGAGCAAGGAGGATGTAGCTAAAGCCTTCCAAGCCTGGCTCAAGACCGTACCAGACAACCATACAATCGTCTACTCAGACGGCTCTAAAGCCGCTAATAGGGCCATAGGGTTCGGCTTTATTATCTACCGCAAGAACAGACGTATAGCCCAGGGCTGCGGCCGCCTCGGCTTAGCAGAGGTATTTAACGGTAAGGCGGAAAGGGCGAGGGCAGGGCTCCGACGGGCCCTCTATACCTCTCAGGGCTAGCCAATACACATCTACATCGATAATACCAATATCATCCAGGGAATCCGTGGTAAGGTCCCAGACTCCTCACAAGCTACCTTCTTAGAGATCCAGGAGGCAGCTAGAATATACGACATACGAACCTATTAGTCCCCGGGGCACCAAGATATAAAAGGAAATAAAGAAGCAGATAGCCTAGCTAAGGAGGGAACGACTCTACCAGTCCCTAGGGGCCAATTAACTACTCTATCAGGTATTAAGCAACTTACTAAAGAACGGCTACGACGCCAATATAAACGTTAGTAAAAACAAGAGGCAACACCCCGATATACCAGATTAGGGCTTAAGGCCACCCTCGTCTGCCCCCCTAAATTAGCTTTACCACGGACTATCCTCTATTACCTCCTAGCAGCCCGAACAGGCCATGGAGACTTCGAACAGTACCACTAACGCTTCAACTACATAGATGCGCAGCTCGCCTACTCCTATAGAGAGGCAAAGGAAGTAGACTATTTAGTCCACTACCGAAAGACCCTAGTGAGGAGGCAATAGTAGCCTATCCTCCACCCTTCTAGTCCGCTCGAACCTATAGGACCCATAGGATCTTTAGAGCGATACTTCAAGGGATTAATCACTAACTGTCGCAGCGCCACACGTGGCGCTGCCGGTTACTGCCGTACGATACCGCTTTTCACAAGCCGATTACCCGTCTTGTACGGTATATAGATATGATCCTCATACGGATCTTCCACTTAGAGGAATCAAGCCACTTTCTACTATACAAGTCTTCCACCTGCTACCTCGCTTTGTGATACTAACCCACAAGGCTTCCAGGCCTTCCTGCGCATAACAGGCTTCTTCCAGAAGATCTGCCTACGGTATTAAAGGCTAGGCCACAACCTAGCCCTATATTAACGAACTACCTCTTTTAAATAATCAGATTTATATTCCGAAACTAAGGAACCAGCGGGAACTAGGGGCGGATAGAACACATAGCAGCTTACGGGCAAGACTTAGAGGACGTTAAGAGGCGGCGTGTACTATAGGGTAGATAGCTTAAGCCTGCGGCCCTCCACGCCACATACCCCCTGGGAGGTCGGCCGCAAGGGCGGTTGCGCCCTTGCCGCCACGGCGTTAAATACTACAACAACAACAACAACAAAATAGAGCGTCGAGTAGCTCAACCATAGTCCGCTTGTTCTCTGGCTTTGCGTATGATGCTACTTTCAGGCAAGATGAAGCGAAGTTCCTCCGGGCCTCCAGTAAGTCCAGTCTCTCTGATTCCTCGTTGAGTAGGATTGTGTTACGGCTGGGGTCATGCCCGTCTCCGACGAGAACGGCCTTGAAGGCTGCTAAATATGCAGAACAAAGCTTGATCTGGCAATCGAAATCTTTCGTAGCATCCCGGATTTTCTGTCGAACTTCTGGTCTCCGAATATAATCTCCGACGGTCTTGTGGGTATATTGGACCGATCCGAAACTGTCCACACTTGACTTGTCGATCGAGGATGATGTTACCTCAACAAGCCCTCGACAACTAATATTGATTCTGCGACGAGTGGTTTGAACCATTTGGCGCATTCCATCATGTGAGAAATCGTAACCTTGATCCCTTCTGTCTTTGACGTCTTTTGGTGTTTCCATTTCGTCGATCAAATAAATCAACACCGCGGGCGGGGATGTCTCCCATGCTTTCATGAGCTGGAAATACTCCGCTGCGTGATTGAAGTAGAATCCCTGTAGAGAATTGAGCATCGTAGTGTAGAGACCTTCCAGCTCCGGTGGGAGTTGATTGAGTCTTCTTTGCATATCCAAGACTCTGTCGTCGTTCCCCATTCCAGTCAGAAGAGACCTGATCACCAAGTTGACCCACAGGAAAACTCCGTCGGCTTTCGCTGTGATATTGTCCTCTAATTGACCGGCATACTTATGCTCTCGTTTCACGAGACGCTGAAATCCTGGATCCTCGGCAAACCTCGTGTGAATGAAACTTTTGATGTCCTCGTAGGTCAGATCTTCGAGTTTCAAGTTTGGTTTGCCTTCGAAAGCATCTTCGAATTCACTCCAAGGGCGACTAGAGAGGCAAATCTTGATATGATTGCCGGGCAAGAGGCTTGTGATCAGGCCGACAAGGTCCTGGGGATTTCCAGAAAACTCGTCGAGGCCGTCGATGAAAAGACAAAAATTGCTTTCTTTCTGGACTTCGATTATCACGGTCCGTAGCAATTCTCGCAATTCAACCTCTGTTATGCGGGGAGGTCCTTCGTCAAACAAAGACATTGCTTCCCAAGAGATAGGTGCGGCATTAGGTATGATCTGTGGGCAATTCTGGAGAATCTGGAAGATTAGGGATTGATAAAGACCCTTTGACGACGATTCCAACGAGTCGCCGGATGCCCAGAAGTAGAAGGACGCAATGATCAAGGGCCGGCTTCCAGCCCACTCAAGCAGACCACCACGGCATCGCTCGAACTCAGGGCCAGACGATGCAGGACCTTCCATCGTGTCTGTTGGATCTCTGAGCAGTCGGCAGAAAAGATGGATCCGGAAGGCGGTATGGGCACTTACAAACGGCCCTTTCACATATATACCACTTCTGGGAGATCGTGGGCTCTGCCCACAATCTCCTTCTTCCACCTCTAGACGCAGCAATGATAGACCATTATTGACACTTCGTTCCAACCGTACGGTTGCCCTGCTGACGTGTATACCAACAAGAGTATAGTAATTCGGGGTCGCTGTAAATAATAGCGGAGCTGGCCATGGTATTGCTATTTACCAACGGACGGGATTGTTTTCTGCGTAGAGTCTCTGAAGATGAGAAGCGAGGGCTCGCCGACGAGATTGCCTTATTGGGATTCTTTCATGCTATGGGCAGACTGCCGACCCTCGAACCTGGATGTCCGTACGTTGGAGTCTAGAAAGACGCACGGTTAGACTTCACCGAGGCGTACCTAGTAGCTGCTGAGCGGCTTCCGGAGTCAACAAAATTGCTCGAAGACGCAATTTTCCTCTCGGCTGTGCTGACCATTCTGGTGTGCCTGGTTTGCCTTTGATAAAGTGTTGCGAATGTCAATCACGTTGCATATACGAGACGGAAGGTATCGGGAAGGCTGAGCACAGCTCGGCGCGCCGGCATAATATTCCTAAGATAATCGATACCTCCGCTATCAGTCCTGCCCCATCCCAACAGCTTGAACACATTATGCGTCCGAGGTAGTATTCTGACGGGTCGTGCGGTTGATCCTGCATAATCAAGGGGCTACCTTCAGGAGAGAGAGCAGATGACCTCTATCCCTAACCAGGGGGCCAGACTTTACACCGGCTGAAAGGTTGGGCAGGCTTGGTGGAGGGTCAGTCTCAGCTAGACAGGCCTCGGTGCAACTATCAGTCCGGGAGTCCGCGACAACGGCTGGATTCATCTCCGTCCGACAATCATAATTCACGATGCCAGGAGCGGTCCTGGCGGGTGAGATGGCCCAGGCCTTCTTCAACGTTGTGACGTGGCTTACGGGCTTGGCCAGGGGCTTAGAGCAGCAGATTACTGTGTCCATGGCCATGATAAGCCCGGTAGTTGTTCTGTCACGACTATCCTGAAAGGGGAAGAACGCTGCCAGCGCTTCAGGGGCATCTCCGAGGTTCAGAGTGAAGAGTACGCGCCATCAGGGGTTCATATGCCAGAGGTGTTGCCATTGAGCGGTTTGACTACCGGTGCTAGGTTTTGTTTCTACTGCGAATGTGGGAGCTTGTAAGTCCTCTTTAGTTTGGTGAGGTGATGGTTGGAACTGACCGTTGTATTGAGCGACTGAGTCGTTCGCCTGGAAAACAAACTATATAAACCCGCCTCCCTACGATCACGGCTCGACTGATTCTAGACTGCTCATACTCAACCAAATTATTCCTCTTTCGCCGACATGGCTCAACCTCACTTCAAAAGGACGCATGACCTGCAGTCCTATGCCAAGTTCTATTGAGAAAATGAGCGTAGGTAGATGGAGCGCGAAGAAAAGAAATGTCAACGTAAGCGCGAGGAGCAGCGAAAGTAGTAGCAAACATTAATACTCAATTCAACGGCGCTGGTAACGTCACTCGAGCGAGATACTAGGGCCTCAATTATGACAGAGGATTAGACCTCAAGCTATACGTCGGGTACGCTCGTATTATATCTGTCACGAAACAGGAATGGTATCAGCACTTGTCAAGCATCTTGCCACGTGCTTTCTCACGTGGATATCACACTCTCTTAGTATATAGACTGCTCTCATGTGCTCATTCTAGATGGGTTACTTCAAGCCACTTTAACCCACTTCATATGCCCATTGCTGCGTGCCATAACTCGTGACAATATCCTTCGAGGTATTGACTCATAATAAGCAGATGGTCCTCCCGATTTTCCTCTTAGTATCGACGAACTGGATCCTAATCTCATTGGGGCTCTCGCGATAGCCGATTTATACAATGGCTATATTATGGGCGATCTCGTATATATAACGCGGCTTTTTGCCTTAATCCCCGAGATCGATGGGTTTATAGCCGAAACCGCTAAATATACTATACCTGATGGAATCAAGTCTTCGGAACACTGGTCGCCTTGTGCCTCTGTACTTCCTTAGCCTCCTACAGGATCGACCTTACAGCAAGTCGTAATTGCCTTTTTGCAAAATAAGTAGCCCCTGGCTCCCGGTCTAGTTAGATCTTCAACCGGGTAGCTCCGCTTAGCAGGTTATGTTCTAAATGACGTGAACGAATGTGAGTGATCAAGAATAATATGTAAGATGATATCCTAAACTGATAGGAATTCTTATAGGTATTATTCAAGATAAGGAGAGGAGCGAGAATAGCGATACTTGCGAAAGTAGTGATGATGACGGCTTAGCCAACGATGAGAACGGGAGCTCTGATGATGACGACACCGCTCGCGAGAGCTTTCCTCCGGACGGAGCGGTTCGGGGACCTCAATTTATGGATCGACACTGGCCGAGGACCTTCTCAACAAGCAACTCGGCGGCGCCCGGCCCCGCGAAGAGCCCACTATACGCACCAAGTCCTGTTACTAATCTCTCCGTCGATGATGTCGCCGCTTCACTGGATATAGCGGAAGAGTGTTAACTAGACATTTTTGCGCTTCCTACTCCATCCTCAGATCACGCCTCTGTCTCATAGCAAGGTGGTAATGCCATCACTAGTCGGAGAAAACGAGGTCACGAGGCAAGCGAAGATGGTTATGAGAGCGACGATATTTGCCTTCCTAAACGAAAGAGATCACGAAATCCTATTAAGACTACTGTAACAAAGGCTCTTCCAGTAAGGACTTTGCGCGCACTACCTTCTCGAGTCTTGGCAGAGAAGCCAGGCAGGATGGGCGTCCCAGCCCAGTGCGAAAGACATATCCGGCGCTCCTCGAGATCAAAGCCACGTTCTCACGCCTCTAGCCCCTTGAGTTGTCACGATGTCTAACCGTACCTTGATGGGCTTCCCTTGCTAGATGTGGATAATGCCTTAAATAGAGGGAAGCGGACGAGAATATAGCGGGGGCGATCGTAAACTATACCCGAGGTAACTTCGCCGTGTCCGTCTTATTCTAACCATTCTTCAGGAAAACCTAGTTTTTAGAAGAATGGACGAGCTTGCCTCCCTCCTACCGCCACCACAGTGACTTTATCCTCAGTTATATGTCATACCTGTGGCTTCTCTGTAGAGCATTTGCTGCAGATGAGCGATACCGTCGAGGCTCTCATTCGAAGTGGGGCTGAGCTGTCTGGCAATGTAAGGGGATTAGACATATATCAGCTATTCCTCGGGTTCGTCAGAGATTATGCTATGAAGAGGCTTCTACATAGCGCAATCACTATGGGAAACTGCGATACCTTCGATGGAATAAAACAAAAACAGATATGGGAAGTAACTGTCGGGGCTACTAAACTCCGAGACATTTTAAGATGACGAAAGCTTATATGGTAACTCTGAAGATAGCGATAGCGAAAGCGAAAGTGTGAGTTTCGATTGTAGTGATAGCCCTGATATTCCTGAGTAAAAGAGCAAGAGACCTAAGCGTCTTTGTTGGATACCCTTGGACGAATTACGTCTCCGCGTATAGGTTCAAGAGGAAAAAGAGTGGTCGTGGATTGCTGATAAACTGCAGCGAAGCGAGCAGGGTGCCTTCCAACACTGGGCTATCATGAAGAAAAGGGAGGAGGAACTGGGAAAGATGTGAGGGAAATATCGTCTCAGAGGTATGCTGTATTGTCTTTCAGATAATTGAAGTGGATGCAATTGTCCCATTTCTCCTAAAAACAGCCGGATTTCGTGATTTCTGCGCATTTCCAATACATTGCGTCGGCTTTATTGTCTGCTGACCTGCGAGTTCCAGCGGTAAAGCAGTAGGACTTGACCGCGACAAGCCGATAACGGTTTGATGTTTTGCCAGGCGAACTTCTGATGTTATACAGCCACGGAGATTTCCGCAGAACCGGATCCCACAAATGCAGAATCATCGGCGCAGTCGGTGACATCAGCCGCCCGGAGGTAAGAGACAGTTTTAGTCAGCTTGCCGCTTATTATTTACGTGACTATGAGTTCGCGGCGCGATTGTTCTCGGGGCGACATGGATCAAACACGACGATTTACGTCTAGCCAATTCAGATTGTCGAGACTCAAGGGTCGATTTCATTAATCGCTTCACTTTTTTCACACATCTCCCGAGTCATAATGCAAGATGAACTCGCAAAACTACGACGACAGCTTCTGGAAGAGCAGCACCTTCGCAAGGAAGAATAACGCCGAAGCGAGGAAGAACAGCGCCGACGCGAGGAAGAACAACATCGACGAGAGGAGGCTGAAGAATACCTTAACTACGCAAGGCGATACGACAAACCCGACCGGCCGGATTTTCCCTCGACGAATCATTCCATGGGATGACTTCAAGGCGGGGCAAGAGGAGATATGGGATCAACTGTCAAATTCCTGCTCATTCGCTTCGAGACCCGTGTTCCCATCGCCGCATCAATTGGACTACGTCATGTCTCTAATCAGCCCGATCAGCAGCGAGACTGACCTCCGGAACTTCCAGCGCGATACTGTCGAGAACGCGGTTCAGAAGCTCGTCGATGAGGCGTACAGCAACACGCGACTCAGAAGTGACATCGGCTTGCAAGGGACCGTGACTTTCGAGAGCCGCACGAATCTCGGACGGACAGACGGAGCCCTTTCTGAGGCTATCGATCATATATCTACCGAAAGGAATGAGACCGATGCCGCGGCAATAGCACCAAGACCACTAAATCGCAAGTCCCGACGCAGAGCTAGAGGGAAGGGCAATCGGGCAGATCAGTTCTGCATTTACCGCACCTCAGATGGCCGAAATATTCCGGCCGTGGTAAGCTGCAACGTGACGAGGTCGTCACCGGTCTGGGGTCGGAGGTTAGACCAGAACGCGACGTAATAAACAAGGACGGTGAGGGGTTTGCGTTTGCATCGAGATCGCTCGTTGCCGCTGTTGTGACCTCGCTCTTCTCGTACATGATCGGGAAAGGCATCTAGTATCGATATGTGTGCACAGGAGAGGCAATCGTCTTCTTAAACATTCCGGACGACCCTACCATCATATACTATTCTTTGCGCGTGCCTAACCTGGACTTTCTTGATGATGACGAGAACGAGCTCCATGGCACAGCTGTCGCGCAGGTCTTTCGTTGCGCAGGTCTTTACTTTCATCCTGCAGGCCCTACGTGCTGAACCGCCTCTCTTGTCTTGCCACGACGCTGCTGTGATTCTTGACACCTGGGCTGAGAGTACGACGTGTTAAGAAATATTCCTGAAACAGTGCGTAAGGACAAGGAAGCGCGCCCCTCTCCATACAAGTCCCAAGGCGAGCGAGGATTCCAGCGCTCGCCGATTTGGACACAGTGTCGCTGCAAGCAATCCGACGGCAACGCAAGGCATCGAGACGATAGTGGTGACGATGGAGAAGGAACATCTCCGTCACCAAACCAATCACGATCGCCTCATACCCAGGGTAAAGCTATCGACACTTCAGGTCGGCCAGAGAAGAGGCGCAACAAAGCAGGGGAGGCCGACAGCATAGCCAAGGCACTCACCAAAATATTAAAGGCCGTCCATCTTGCACTACGCAATGCCTGTTTGGACTTGCGAGTAGCGGGCGAATTGAATGACGCTGTCCGAATCCCCAGGATCACGGACATCAGCACCTTAACTGATTAGACTTTCTTCGACTCGTCCGTACTCAACTCACCAAGGACCGTGGCCCTGACGCCGATGTTGTGCCACGTCACCTGTCCGGCTCAATTGGCTCACTCTTTAAGCTCAGGCTTTCCCGCTATGGTTACACTCATGTTGCCAAAGGCGTTGAGACACTCCATTTGGCCCGCGTGTGCCATGAGAACGAGGTGCACGATCGACTTCGCCCAATTCAGGGAAAACATGTCCCTCTCTGCTTGGGACGAATACATGTGGTCCTGCCGTAATATTGCAACAGCGGCGTGTACAAGCTTGTCTTGTTCCTCAGTTGGGCTGGGACACCTCTATTTGACTCGATCAACAGAGCAATCACCGCGAATATCGACGCGATTGCCGAGACGTATAAGATAGTAGACAAGCTAGGGGTCATTCAGGGCGACGCGAAGCTATACAACGTCTTGCGTGACACAGCGAGTGGTTGTATCATGATAGTGGATTTCGAGCGGGCAGAGGTTAGCTGCCGCCCTCCGCTCGGCTTTCTTACATGCCTCTAATGTTCAAAGCAAGAAAAGAAAGCGGGCGGCGCTAGGTCAGCCGGGAATGTTAGAGAATTGAGGGAAAGACGGTCTTGCCAAAGAACTAGAATCCATCACGAGCCATGTTTCAAGATATATTACGGCGTCGCAGCGGGGAACCGCTGTCAGTGTGGCCAGTAAGGTCAAGATATAAGATAGCTCGACCTGATTGACTCAGTGTGGTTTCTTTGCTTTGAAGACATCTTGATGTTTGAGATTTATTTAACTTCGCGGACGAGAACAAAATCCAGCTTTGTTGTTGTTGTTGTTGTTCTATTTAACGCCATGGCGGCAAGGGCGCAGCCGCCCTTGCGGCAGACCTCCCGGAGGGTATGTGGTGTGAAGGGTCGCAGGCTCTAGCTATATACTATATAGTGCACGCCGTATCCTGACGTCCTCCAAATCTTGCTCGTGAGCTACTATGTGTTATATCCATCCCTAGTTCCCACTGGTGCCCTAGTTCCGTTATAACCATCTGGTTTCTTAATAGAGGTAGTTTGTCGTTTGGAGGATAGGTTATGACCTATCTCCTAGTACCGCGGGCAGATCTTCTGGAAGAAGTCTGTCACGCAGAGGAAGGCCTGGAAGCCTTCAGAGTCAGTGATTAGCCCCTTGAAGTAGCGATCGAGGGACCCTATAGGTCCTACGGGCTCCTGGCGGCTGTAGGGGTAGAGGGTGGGCCACTGTTGCCTCCTCAGTAGGGTCTTTCGGCAGTAGACTAGATGGTCTGCCTCCTTAACCCATCCACAGGAGCAGGTGTCTATAGCCTATCCAGGGCTCCTGGATCAGTACTATATCGATCTGATCCGCCCAGCAGAGCTCTAGGAGAGCTGTATGAGCTGGGATTCTCTTCCCCACGTTACACTGGGCGACTCGTAGTACCCGTGGGGAGGCTGGCCTGAGCCTACTGCTCTGAGTCGAGGTCGAGGTGGGTGTAGGCATTAATAACGTTGTAATCAGGCTTCTGCGCCACCCGCTGAGCCCTGCTGCTTGAGGTAGCTAGGGTAGGTTGGCTGGGTAGGGGGGGTAGGACTGGGTCGTCAGGGGCTTGCAGCCCTTCTGCTTCAGCCCCATTCTCATCTTCATCCATGCTGCTACAGCTAGCCGCATCACTCACGTCCGCTACAACAATTGAGTCCTGGGTAGGGGTAGGGGCGCGTGGGCGCTTTGAGCCGGGCTGATGGCTCGTTAGGCCGTTGCTAGGTTGCTGGGTGTTGCTGGCTTGGGTGCCAGCCTGGCTGCTCTGATAGAGGGCCTCATAGGCCTTCTGACCAGCCTTACGGATCCGGGAGAGTTCCTTCCGGTCTGGGAGGGTAGGGGAGCCATTAACCACTAGGGGCCTTGCTGGACAGTCCTTATGGTTAGCTTGGAAGGGGCCGGAGCAGTTGGCGCACTTCGGTCTAGCTATGCAGGGCCCAGTCTCGTGGGATCCCGAGGGCCTGCTACAGTTGCTACAGAGTGGCTGTCGGTGACAGTATCGGTTCGAATGATATCCCTGGTATCCAGGATCATGTCTAATTAGGGTCTTCTTCTTTTGGATAAGCTGAGACCTACTGCTTTGGTTAAACAGTCTAAAGGGTAGTACTTCCACAGAGAAGGAGATAACCCAGGAAACTTCGTTTATAATAAGGTTTACACCTAGCCGGGACTACTGGGCCCGGGTAGGCTTACGTCCTGTTTAGGCAAGGACCTCATCTTCTACCAGAGTAACTAAGTCAAGGGCGTCGCCATCAAGAGTCCACATCTTAGCAGGGCAACGTAGGACGACGTAAGTAAACGATTTAGTAGGGGTCTCAACCTTATAAGCTCTAAGACACTCTACTAGTTTTTGTTTATTTACAAGGAGGGCTTACTAGACCTGCTTATTTAGGGGTCTTAGTAAGTAGCCAGTTACAATATGGTAGATATGTAGGATATCTGCCAGCTGGAGCCTAAGGGCCTAGCAGACTATCCGGCGTAGGGCAAAGGGGGCATGCTTCCTAGCAGCCGCTAGGCCCTCTTCTAGGATACGGGTAAAGACCCGGAGGTCCTCCTTCGGTTAGGATAGAGCCTAGGCCCGGGTCTCCGTCAGACTCTGTATCTGGACTTCGGGCCGGGTAGGGATTCGGGTACGGGTCGGGGCTACGGCCACGGCTATAGTTAAAGCCGAGGCTACTACGTCAGTCCATTTCCGGCTCGGAGCCGGAGCCATAATCTCGTTACCCATAATCCTCTTCAAAGCTTGGATTACATAGGTTATAGCTTCTTTTGCAATCTGCTTCCTAGGCCCCTCAAAGCAAGAGATCACGTTATCCACAGACTGAGCAATAGCCATAAAGACGTCCTTTCGGGCTTCATAGTGCTTAGCCTCTTCATCAAGAGCTGTAAGGACAGCTCCAGTAGCTGTCCCAGTCATAATCGAGGGCCCCTTAGCCATTAAAGGGGTTATTGTTGGGGCGTCGGGCTGGCTTCCCACGAGGCTGGGCCGGAGTGGCTGGGCCTCGGTTTCGCGGCGGCGTTTAGCCCTTGAGGATGGGGGCGGCTCTGAAGAGGTTCCAGAGCCTCGATCAGGGCCGGCCGATGAGGCTGGCAACGGCCCAGAGCCCGCCGGAGGCTGCGAGGCCATCGCGGGAGGGCGCCGGAGGAGAGGTGAAGGGTTTTCAGCTGTTAAGGATTTTGGTGGTAGCCCACTTATTACACTAACAGTAGATGCCAAGAAAAATTAAGCGAGAGGGAAGTTGAACTGGCCGGAGTAAGTAGGAGGAGAAAGAGTACGGCGAGGATACGTAGCTCTCTAAGCTTGAATGACTTCTTCGTCGTGCTCAGCGTTATCTCGATCTACTGCTTGAGATCGTTGATCGTTATATAACGATTAGCTTGCTACTGCTCGCTTACTGTGTATGCTACGGTTTAGCTTCTAGTTGATCTTTTTACCTACGGCTCTCTCGAAGACGAGTCGAAAGACCTTCTAGTATGTGCCTAAAGAGCTTTTTTTTTTTTTGATTCCGCGTTTCTTCCTGCTATTCTTGCCGACCTTCTGGCTTATGACCTAGTTAAAGAAATTATACATAAGGCTGAGCGACATCTTTGCGTAGTAGTCTTTCGGATCGCGTTTGAGAATATAATAGAACTTGTAAATGAGTAGTATTAGCAGGTTGAAGAACGTACGAAATCCGCGAGCACGTACTGTCGCCACTGCTCCTCCACGGTATCGAGAAGTACCGTCGTCCTAGGGCTGTAATCCTGGTAGGCGAAGGGGTCCCCATTGAACGCCTCGACCTTGCGTCGCTAATGCTCGGATGACTGAATATTGCTATCAAAGAGCCTGATTTGGTCTTCGATATCCAAATCGGCATCGTAGATATCGTCGATATCGGTTGCGTCGGTGCTCGAGTCACCTCTTTGATCCTTCGTATGGAGACGTCGTCGTCGTCGTCGTAGTCGTTGCTTTCAACTTCGGCAGCGAATGATGTATCGAAATCGTAAGTGTCTACGTTCGTACGTCGGCGCTTCGGCATGGTGGAAAGTAAGGCGGTAGTCGGGAGGGGATGATCGAATAACTCGGAAAAGTCTAGCTTTGAGAGCGGATGGATCGAGGAATCGGCTTACTAGGTAGTATAGTGCTCGTAGATTATATAATACGAGAAGGTAAGCTATGGTAGGGCCTATTTTAACGGCTATATTTGGCTATTAGAAACCGATAACTATATAAAGAAGGACTAGGGAGTAAAGACTTAATAACCTGGCCGTAGCCGTGTGAACTGTTTAGGACGGTAGTGTGGCTGAGATACTATGGCAGGTACTCTGGGGTATATGTATGGGACGGGAAAGGGAGAGGGTTGCTTGGTGGGCGTGGTGCCTGAGTCTAAAGCGGCGACTGATTCGTGGCAGATGATCCGCTGGATTCGGCGGCAGAAGCTGCCTAAAACGGCGGCAAACTAGCCGTCTCTTAGTTTAAGAGAGTAATGAAAGTATTATAGCTAGCTAATTATAATAAGATATATTTATAGAAGTTAAGTGTTACGACCCAACATGCACGACCAAGAACAGGGCCTGCCCCGCAGGCTTACGATGGTTACTACGCCATACATGCACAGGACAAGGGGACACAAGGCACCCTCTCACGGAACGGAAGAACTATGGTACAAGTCACGTGATGATAAGATAAGGATCATTTGGGATCAATATGATCCAACACGACTTGGGGGCTAAACGATCATTCTGGATCAGAATGACCCAAGACGACCCAAGGGACAAGGGACATGTTCAGGATCAGGACTTGTATATAAGGATGGACTTGAGCTGGACTCTAGGACAACCTTCCATAGCTCTTCAGCAATTAACTTCGTATCAGGATTAACATCCGCTTTCAGCTACTACCTTGACAAGACTACGATTGATCACCGAAGCCTTACCCACCCTTACGATTGACAGACATAGCTTCCCTGAAGCTATCCCCGACTACGATTACTGTTACCAGTTCCGCAGCCTCAACTTCTGCAAACTACCCCTACAACTAGCTGGCCGTAACATTAAGGCTATAGAACTAATAATAGTATCGTAGTCGGAAATAGCTTTAAGAAAGCTATATTTATAAGTTGTAAGATAAAAAGTCTTTAATAATTAATTATAATTAATCTTTATTAAAGAGATTCTTAAGAAAGATAGCCAAAAGTGATTATAAAATCTAATATAAAGTTCATTATTAAAGAAGCTATAATAAGTCCATTTTAAAGCTTAGCTTAAATTTATTTTATATATAAGTTAAGTTCTGGTTTTATTTAAATATATCCTTTATAATTAGAACCGATATTATTATATGTTACGGAACTGGTAACAGTATTCGTAGTCGAGGATAGCTTCAATAAAGCTATGTCTGTAAGTCGTAAGGTGAGGGAGGCTTCGGTAATCAATCGTAGTCTTATCAAAGAGGTTCTCAGGGAAGATAGCTGAAAGCGATCATAAGTGTCACGGTAGCAGGCAGGTTGTTTGGCAGGTGGATGCTGGGCAGGCGGATCAGACAATCTATTGCTACGGGCAGGCTCTATCCTAAGCAGGTACAGGCTCTGTTGACAAGACGTAGCTCAAGGAGCCACGTTTCTGGACATGCGCGACAGAATACAGGATGCAGAGTTTTATCCAGCCTCAGGCTTACGTAACCCGGCCACCGGGTTACTCAACACCAACCTCAAGGTTGGGGTCTAGGACAGCGGGTCTGTGACAATAAGATCTAATACGAAGTTAATTACTAAAGAAGCTATGGGAAGTCTGTCCTAGAGTCCGGCTCAAGTCCATCTTATATACAAGTCCTAGTCCTGAATATATCCTTTGTCAATAATCAGTCCCTCTGATCGGGTAAGCGCTTATTACTTAGCATAAGCGCTCATGGCCCCACTATAGTTACTTATATCTTATCTTATCATTATGTAACTTGCACTATAGTTCTTCCGTTCCGTAAGAGAGTACTTAATATCCTTTATTTCCTATAACTAAATATAGTGCGTTTGTTACGAGCTGGACAAGGCAACCAACTGTGGCACAAAGCAAAAGCTTCGATAATGATGACTCCGGCATCATTGTCCCTTGTTCTGCATTATATAGCTACGCGCCCACAGTGACAAGTTGCGGCGGGCGTAACAGCGTTATAGGCGCCGCGAGCCTGCGGGGCAGGCCCTGTTCTTAGTTATGTATGTTAGGTCGTAACATCAGCCCTCTCTCTAAAAGGTCTAGTCCCGTAGACCTATAAATAAATAATTATAGTCCAGGTTAGGGTTCGTTAAGTTTGTTTTTCTTATACTAATAATATAGGTAGAGAAGTTTTTACCGACACGCTATTGGTTTCTTATCTACGTCGCTTATATCGTTCTTTAAAAACCGCTAACTAAGATACCAAAGTTATACCTTATTCTCGTTATCGTTCTGTTACGAGCTGGACAAGGCAACCAACTGTGGCACAAAGCAAAAGCTTCGATAATGATGACTCCGCATCATTTTCCCTTGTTCTGCATTATATAGCTACGCGCCCACAGTGACAAGTTGCGGCGGGCGTAACATACTGTTACCAGTTCCGCAGTCTCAATTTCTGCAAACTACCCCTACAACTAGCTGGCCGTGACACGAAATTACGTATAATAATATACTTAAAGATTAACTAACTATTTACTTTTTTTATATTTAGTTATAACTTAATATATAAAGTAATTTACTTTATAGTTATCTTCTTTTTTAAATAGAATTCTATATAATAGTAATTAAATTCTAATAACTATTTAATAAGATTATTTATAATAATAACTAGTTAACTTAGTTATAGTTAGATAACTAGTTGGGTATATTTCTCTAACTAATAATATATCTAGAGGGGCATATTATAATAGCTTTTTTTATCTATAGCCTTATTACCCGTCACGTGACCTCGGTTATATAATTATTGAGGCCTATATTCACTCATATTACCTCTTTCAGAGCGAGCCTCGTACCTATTCTCTACTTTTAATGGATAACCGTTCTCTATCACACATCTCGATGCCCACATTGTGACCATACGACAGATGATATATGGCGAGAGTTAATTGGACCTTGGCAAGCTGCCTGATCGATACATGGGAACTTGGCGCTCGACGAGCTGCATTTTCGAACCCATGCATACACCGGTAGGCTTATCTTTCTGCATGGATCGGCACATATACATGCCTGTGGATGAGCCATCGCAAAGCGGAAGGATGATGACCAGGAGCCTTGTCCATGGGAGGCCATCTTGCTCAGCTGTTCAAAATCAGGGTATGCGTGGCACCGTAAGTACTTAGGCATGAAGGTACTATTGGATTATGAGCAGTCAGCAGAAAGGGGGGATCTGGAAGGCGGTAAGGGCCACACAAACGGCCCTTCCACTTCGGCACACACCACTTCTGAAGAATCGTGGGCTCTACCAACGTCCTCCTCCTTCCACCTTCATACTCAGCAATGATATACTATACTATTGACCTACGTTCCAACCGTACACTTTTCCTACTGAAGTGTACGCCAACAGATACCCTGTAGGCGAGTGCCTCCCTTTACCCGTGAGTCAGGCAGGATGAATCTTGAGATGGCCGGTTTGCTTCTCTGATGTCTCTACTTCAAGGGGTTTCGGAATCCACTCAACCTACGTTTGAACACTTGCCGAAAATTAATGCTACTGTACAGACCTTAGGGGCTTTCGCATTCATCCCCGCAGGCAAACTCGGCTTCGTGTTGTCGCGAACTGCAGTTTGTGGTCTGTAATCAGCTCAAGTCTCAAGGTAATACTGTTTCGAGTGTGTAGGCGGTGGCATTATTTACCGTTTTTTTGGCGCCGATGGTTGCATCTGATATCCTCAATACCCGTTACATTTGTATTAGCTCTGGGCATTTTTTGGAAGCCCAAGTTTGATACTTGTGATAGAGAGTTGTAGACTTAGCTGATAGAGAGAAAGCCTGAAATGTGACGACGGAAGGCCATGCACGGTTGCGCATCCCAATTGTGAGACTAGGAAGTCTGTACGATGGCTTCGAGGCCTCTGAGGTCACGTTTACCAAGGATCTTGGTTTGCGAAAGATGTCTGGACGAAAATAAATGATTCATAAGATGCTTCCTCCTAGCTATTCTACCATTCTAGAAGAGAAGCATGCGACTGTCCGGAAGGTTTAGATTGATGTCACTGGAGAAGTATTCCATCCAGGTCGAGCAAATATTGAGAGGAGATATCCCATCGAGTGCTGACTGACGCCATTTTTGCCAAGGGCGGGGTAGAGCCAATTAGGGGTTGGAAATCTATAGAGTTAACCAATAGGGTTACAGTACCTCTATTGCCTACATATTCTGCGTATGCCAGAGGTACCAACAATTCCCCTGGGTGCATAAAGGTACGTTACAGTCTAAGCAGCCCTTCCTCGTATATTTACGCCGCGTGAGGGTATTCCCAGATATCTCGCCTAGAGTCTGGCGGTTTCTTATTGCCCTCAGATTACTACAATAAGAGCAAGGCGAATTAACCTTCCGTGACCCTTTTGTATGCTGTTCCCATGGAATAGAGGTATTCCTCTTGTCTGTACGTCTAGGTCGTGATAGTCTACGCCCGCCTGCTAATGGTCCAAACCGTTGAATAAGCTGGGCTGCTAGTAACTGCCGCCATTGATAGTTGGATTCCACCTTCTGCCACCTAGGGCTACCCCAGAGCTGTAATAAGAAGCTATTCACAACTACTACTTCCAGCAGGAAATTCCAGGCTAGGGACTGCCAGCCCCCTCGCCGAATAGGGTGACCGTATTGATAATAAGACCTCATCTGGTCACTCACATCAACCCTATTCATCTTGTGGTTGTATTCATCGATTGCCCTAGGGACTGGAAGGTCCTTGCGGACGTCTGGGCCAAACACTTGCCGGGCAGCCTTTTTAGCAGCAGTATCCCCAGCTGGGCGACGGCGGCTTCGAATAACTTCCTGGCTGCTCTGGAAGACAGTTGACAGGAATAGTACGAGGGCATCCTCCTTCCAGGTGAACTGGTTGACCTATTCACTAGTTAACTAGGCTGGGCTGGATGTGCTGGGCTGGGCTGGGCTGGAATTCCGCAGTATTGAATATCCGCAGTCGCCGGAACAGGAGTTGGAAACGGTCCCGGGATATAAACCGCGTAAATAGGTGGATGGGATCCTCCCTCTGCTGTTGGGTTGACCAGTAGGTTGATAATCTAGATTCCCTATGGATCCCTATATACAATAAGATTCCTAGGAAGAGGTAGATCTCTTCTATTGAGGTCTCCCGCCACTTATAAACTCTAGACGTTCTAAGCCAGGGGCCCTCTTTAGACGACGGCGGTGCTGTATTCATCCACTGGGCCCACTGCTCCACGAGGTCTTGCGGAACGTATTGGAGGAATACTTGCCGGCAGCCCCCAGACCTCTTGGGCCCGGGCTGGTACTTCAAAGGGCCGGAAGGAGCCCGGAGGGCCATGCTCGGTAGCCGGAGGTTCACAGGGCCGGACTGTGGCTTCGTCACAGCCGTCTGGCTTACAAGCTGTATTACAAGCAGCAGCTAGGTCTTCTGGGTAGACCTCAACTACTATAGTGCTGAGTACAGAAGTAACAGAAGTAACAGAAGCAATAGAGGTATTGGAAGCAATAGAGGTATCAGAATCACTAGAAGACATTGCAGATCAATTGAAATGCTAGTAATAGTAGTGATAACAGGTAAAAGAGCATAGTGGTAAATGTTGTATCGTCAATGTACCCCTTTAAATGCGGGGTAATAAAGTGTAAATAGTGGGGATTTTGGGGCTTGGCAAAAATGGCGTCAGTCAGCACTCGATGGGATAAGGCCCGATTTAATTTGATCTTGACTGGTCTTCATTAGCAATTACTCATCTCATCTGCCTTACCTTCAACTCGCTTTCCTGTCACTACTTAAATGAAAAAGAGAACGTTTAGCGCTTGGATAATTACATCATTTTATCAACTTACCACCGACAAGATCGCCATGAGCTCTAGCAAGCCCGTTATGATTGATATTTCTTTTTCGTTAAGCAGCTTCCCTCCACTTGCCTATTGTTGGTATCCCTATCACAGGGAAGTTGGTTCGAACCGTAGGGCCCTGGGGGTGACGAAGTATCAATATCTCTGTATTGATTGATTCTGCGTAATGTGTAAAAGGGAGATTCCAACCGTAGGTTGGTTGGGTAGTCGCGGTCTAATTGTACCACCTCGAGGTGGCCCATGCTCTTGCCCTTATCCGCGGTCGAATTGGACTTCCAATCCGACATTTTTGTATATCAGCATAAGTACCTAGGCATATGAAAGAACACTCAGACCATCACTTTGATCTTCTCTTTCCTCTTTGAATCATGACAACTTTGTTTGAGCAATGTTGACCAGCCACTTACCCATCTCCACACTATTCTATTTTGGTAATTGTGGACTAGGCGCATAATGAAGTACATGTACTTAACCAGGCTAAGTGCCTACTCACCCGCTTGTGTGCTAGGGAGGTATAGTTGCAACAGTCATTTGCATTTTGGCATACCTCCCATTATACAATAGCATTCGAAGCATGCGATCATTGAGGAATTGGAACTGTTTTGAACAAGGAAAAGTCTTGTTGTATTGTGCCACTCGAAAAGGGCGTAAATCGCAGAATTACGCGGTATACTATGTACAAAGAACATCTAATATGTACCGGAAGGATGCAACGTCTCCTTTATAAACAACCGTCCATCGATCTCACTCGGCGTCCAGGTTCTGACCTAGTACACTCTAGTACTTGGCAGAGCGGCGGGCCTTGTGGGAACGGCGGCGCTTGCAGCCGGAGGGGCTGCTGGGCGCAGGGGCGGCAGCAGCAGAGGTAGAGGCAGCGGCGGCGGAAGAGGTGGTCGCAGGCGCGGCAGCCGTGGGGGTAGCCGAGGCGGCAGCGGCGCTAGTGACGAGGGTAGTAGGGGCGGCAGCGGGAGCGGAGGAGGCCGGGGCAGAGCCGGAAGAACCACCACCCTCGTAGACAGCAGGACCAGGGATGACGTAGCTTTTTGATTGTTAGTTGCTTGCTTTCACGTACCTTCTCATTGATAGCGGGCGTAAATGGGTGTACTTACGAGGTGATGGTGTTGTAGATGTTGATCAACAGACCAGGGTCGGTGGCCTTGTAAGCACCGGGGAAGACGACACCCTCGGGCTTAGCAGTGCCACTGCCTTCGACCTTGATTTGATAACAGCTTCAAACTTGTTAATCTCTTGATCCGAATGCTATGATGAGTCAAAAGTAGGTTGTACATACCTCATGTAGTACTGAGCACCGTTCTCGGAGCCGGCGGCGTGGAGAGCGACGGTCTCGGCACGGAGAAGGTAGTCACCAGGGGCAATATCGGAAGGAATGACAACGTTCTGCTTGCCGCAGCCCTCGTTGATCAGGTCGTTACCCCAGGTGTTGTTGTTGGCGAAGTAGCCGGACTCGAAGATCTTGAAGAAAGAGCTGGAGCCATCGGCGGTGGCGGCGTCGGTGACGGAGCTCAGGTAGACCATGACGGGGCCGTGGTGGGCACCTCCGATAGCCTCCTCGGTGCAATCACGGGTGTTGTGCTGGTGCATCTCGACGGTGATGGTGTCGCCGGCCTTGACGCCGCAGGTGGTGGTAGCGGCGGCAGAGTTGGCGTTGCAGCGCATGTCGTTGGACGTGGGGTCCTGGACGGGGGAGTTGGAGGCCTATCATGGTCATGTTAGTCTGATGCTCGTAGTCTTTCTTCTTTTGATCTGTATAAGTTGACATACGGGCATGCGGACGCAGCTGGACTCCTGGTCAACACCGTTGACCCAGAGTTGCTGGAAGATGGCGTGGCCGGCAACCATGTTGGCCATGGAGGCGGTAAGGGCGAGAGCAGCGACAGACTTCATCTTGACGGTGATTTGGTTTGGTTGTTTTTGAAGGTGATTTCCGGGCGTTAGAAGTGCACACAAAGGTGAGAAGTGAGTGTAATGACGCCGGCGTCGAGCTGTAGAGAAGTACTGAAAGTAAAGAGTGGACAGGTGAGTGACTGAAACTGTTGAAGAGACAAAACAAACTCTCTTTTCGAGGAACGAGGAGACCGAGATGCTATATGTATGGCCTCTCTGGTTCCTCGCATTACCCCCCCTCATCCCCCTCCCCTCCCGTCTTCAACCACGAACATCGTCCTCGGTCTTCATCCTCCCCACTAACCGGGCATGGTCAGGCCAGTTCAGAACTGCCAAGCCTAAATTCTGGATAGGGGGACCGCATTCCCGTCCCACTGGCCCACGTCGCCGCCTCGTCGGTTCAACTAACAACCAGGGATCTGATACCTCGAAGGGAAGGGTTTAATCTCTATACCGCAAGGGTTCGTCAGGAACTGAATGGACAACGCAGGCTGCAGCACCGCTTCCCGCCGTAAAGAAGCAGTCCCGGCCGGGCATGCTCATGGGTGTCACCGATCGTTCATTGGAGCAATAATCTTGAAAGGGGTTAACGATGCGGGGATGCCCGCTGTTTTGTCTAAATTGCGGGATGTATGCCTTGCAGCTTCGGCTGCGCGGGTGACGCGCCCAGTTCGGGTTGTGGCTTTCTAAACAGGGTTCAGCAACTTGCAGCCAGTTGGTGCAGTTTCTGTACGGATTCGCTTTTCTTATTCGGCTGGACAGGTCGCAAGGCGGGCATCCCTCGCTTCAGTCGTCCCAACTTGACCCCAAGCTTAATTTAACCCCTTGGAGGACATCGCTGTCCCTGGAGTCGGATCCAAGTATCCAACCACTGGCGTGTTGGCAACCAGTGCTGACCCCGGTCTTTGATCCCCCTTCGCGGCTGGCCGTCCGAACCTGAAACACAAACAGCATGTGGCCCCTGGCGCTACTCAGTTCGGCCAAGATAAGACCACAGCAAAACTGCTTACTGTGCCTTTTTTCTTTTCAGGACTCATAGGAACAGGTGAGTTTACGGGTATAAACGAGTGTAGGCAGAATTCCAGAATTCGGGGGAACTCTCGTCCAATGCAATATGTGTCAGCAGAAAATACTCTCTCAGACTGGCAGTAAACTTTTAGTAGGCGACGTTGGATAGATTGAACCTTAGACCTCGCCCGCGAAGATCAACGACAATCACTAACATATACTTTCCTTGGTACTCGCGTGTCTCCGCGGTGCTAAACCGTTTGGCGCACATCAACCCAGGCCTTGATAGATTCCGATTGGGCAAAGGAGTGATCCGCGATCGTCATCCTTCCCAGGGGCGAGCGACGGGCCTGGGGCTCGATGGATTGTGTCACCCAAAGTGGTCCATTCCTGGATGAGCCCTGTAGGTCCGTCTTCAGTGGCTCAAGCCAGTATCGCTGGCGGACACGTGCGTTACGGGTAGAGATGATTTTTGGTCCTTCTGAACTTCTGAAAGCTGAGGGGCAGGAGACGATGCAGCAAGTTGAACAGAACACAGCCGCTCTCGAGTCAATATGCTTGCTCTGACAGTCCCCTTTGCGGTTATTGATTGACTCGATTCGTTCGCCGCACTGACACCCTCTACCAGCTGCAGCCGTACTCCGTATATGAACACCTATTGTAGATGCCAACCCGTTTCTATTGCTTCGCCAAAAGACGAGTTTGGACCAATATTCCCCTCAACACCTCGGTTTTCAACTTATCAGTGGCCGTATGTGGAGAGCATACGGTGGTCCCCCAAGCCTTTAGGCGGGAAATCATCTCCGAGTGAAACGAGCCTAGATCTTGGGGGCCATTTCGGGGACGACTGAATTTTTCTATGGGGGTTCCTTTTTAGCGCAGCGCACCGCTGACCGCTGCACGTTTAATCATTTCGAAACCAGGGCCGTCGGTTCTGGCGCCTGGGCCATGCAAGGTCCATGGATGATGGCGCCAACCGTCAACGAGCAAAGGGGGGAACGGGCTACGGCAAGATACAAAGGTCTTGGCCATATCGTGCCGCTCTGAAAGGAAATAAGGCCAATATTTTCAACCATGCATCTGGCGGCAAGTGAGAATATCGTACGTCATACGTTGTTGTGAGTTCTAAAGTTCCCAAAATCCGAGAGCGACGTTTTAATGTTCTATCGTCTCGCATAATCGTGATATTATCTGAGATTGCTCCAAGATCAATGACACTTTGTAAATCGACCTCAACTCGGTGTTTGCTGTGCGCTATCTATTTCTTTTTCTTGCTCGTCTCTACTCACGGACAAGCAACTCAAAAAAGATTGACCACAAACAGTTGCTAAGCGAGTTGGCAGTAGGATCGATCCAATCGTCTGTGAACTGAGCCAAAACTACCAGTATGAGGAGACGTCAATTCATGATTGACAGGTGCAGTAACGGCACTTATTTGCCGGTTTAAAGACGGTGTGCACCAGTCAAAAATTAAGCTTGATGCCATCTCTGATTTAAGGTAGCTTGTGGTCCGAGGCTATTCTTGACGACACATATTGGCCCACTTGACTGAAGAAATATTCTGGAACCTGTGGATTCCCTATCAAGGTATCTCAACTCCAGCTCGTACTCGTGCCGAATTTCCGAGTACCGTCTTTCTGCCCCCTCAATCTCCAAAGTCCTGTTTCCAACTTTGCACCCTGCAATTATTTTGATTGCCGCGTGATTTCTTTTGCAAGAAGCTCGCCGCTGTGAGGAAGAAATTTTCAGGGGTATTGAAAGCATTCGATGAGGGTAGGTTTCTTCTCTGACCCGATTTCGGGGCAAAATCGGCATCCACGGTTTAACTCTGGAGCTCTTTCTTGAATTCCAGAATCGCAGTCATCAAAGTTCTCGTCTAAGCTTCTTGCGCTTTTCAAAGGCCCGATAGCGTCCAATGCGACGCTCAGCAGGCGACTGGAGGCTGAGGCATTGGCAAGCACAGTCCCAGCGAACCGCAATGGTGGTTGATCTTGACCATGTGCTCAAGTTCATCAATCGCCTTACCAACTGATGAGTATGTGTTGTGAAACAGGATCGGGAACGTGCCGTGATGATCCATGATTTCGGTAAGATAGTCGCGCTTTACCGCTGGTCTGTGATGGTCATGACCTGAGGCAGTGGTGCAGGCGCATTTCTCATCTCAACCGCAACGCGGGTATCGTGTATACGTCTGTCAAACGTTTTGAACTCAAAGACGCCCTCGAGCTCACGTCGAATATTGGCCAACTGCTCATGCGCCTTGAGGATCTCATCGGGCTTGTTGTCTTGGTGAACATGAACCTTAATCAGAAACATCCATCGCTGCCCAGGGTCTGCAGGTGACATGGTGTCCCATGCAGCAGTTTGAGTGAGAGGACCATTGTCGCCGTTCATCTGGAGAATGTAATGTCTTGAAAGGCAAAACTCTACGTCCTCTCGGAAGAACTGATAGGTTTCCTCAATGGCCTCGCTCTTGAACCTGCGTTCTTGTCAGATCGCTATCGCCAACACCAGGTGAGCAAAACTAACTGGTAATTGTTGTCTTTCATCACAGACAACAAGTTTCGTTGATCCCAAATTTCAGTCTTCTTGCGCTGAGTGACCGACGAGCGGAGCTGGGGAGGATCAGGGAAATCGGTCCATCGGAGGGTGCCGGGGCGCGCATTGAAGTCCACTTCCGGAGCGGTCGGGCCGAAGTCCTTATCCTTGAATACCTCATATCGGGCCTGGAGGATGTAAGATTGACGGCTCAGTTGCTGATGCAAGTCTTTCCACAGCATCTGAATGTCCTTGCGAGGCGTTTTGACGATTGAATTTTGGTTCGAGATCCCGCCGGGTTTGCCTGGGCCCTTGAAGTAAAGGACGCGATGGAGACTCTGCCATGCAGGCATGGCACAGAGACCGCCGAGGACGGAGCATGCCGCCTGGATATCGTCATCGTCAACGAGCGTTGTGAGAAAGAGCTCATACATCTTGAATGACGATTTGCGCGGGGTTGGCGGGACGTTTGGGTAAGGACCACGGCAGTGAGGCGTGAGAGAGGTCCAGAAAGACGTCTCAGTGAGATGAAAGTGAAAGTGAAATCGCTCCACCGATACGATACGTACCTCGACATTTTGAGTCACGTGCCCGCCCGTCGCAGGCGCGTGGGCGCCGTCGCGCTTTCTGCCAGTAAAGTGGCCGTGCCCCACCAAAGCTTGCCGCTTCCTTCCCAAGCTTTGAGCTGCGGTCATCGACATGCGAACGTCGCTCTTCCAGGTCAACGGCCGACTACTTTGTCAATTGCTGAGCCAACGGGCCATTCAATCCACCGCGATTATGTCGAGCTCTAGCTCGTCAACTACGAAACGAAAGCAAAGAGACTCGATCTCTCCCCCGCCTGTCAAGCGGAAAGTCCAGAGTGGCACGACGAGTACGCTCTCCTTTGCCCACGCCATGGACCACCGTTAACTTTGAACTTCCTACAGAGAATGCGGTTGCAAATTTCTTCAAGCCAACGTCACAAAAGCCAAAAGACCGTACGATATGGACCGAACGCGCACCTAACGACGATACACCCGCTACCCTGCTTGTCGGCCGCTATGAACCAGAGGAGCCCTCGACCGGGTCAGAGAAGAGGAGGAAGGTGGCTGCCTTTGACCTGGTATGCCAGCTCGAACGAATTCATACGCATCAAGCGATCGAAGTTGACAGATAGGCGCCTAGGACTCGACCCTAATTACAACAGCTTCAGGCAAGAAACATGCTGATGCCGCCGACGACTGGAAATGGTGGCATGCTTCTGTGCCTGGAAAGCTGCGGGACCTGTACAAAAATGAGGGGTACTGCATAAACATCTATCCCTCAGACTAAATGGAATCAGCTAACCCTGGTAGATATCTTATTGTGGTGCTATCCAATCAAGCTGGCCTCGTCCTCCACGCAGATCCGAAAGCAAAAAACCCGAAATCGACAAAAGACCGAGTCTCGGCTTTCAAGCAGAAGGCGAATGCCGTGTTGACGCAGCTCGATATCCCAACCACCATATATGCCGCCACAGATAAAGACATATACAGAAAACCAAGGCCGGGGATGTGGAAGGAGCTTTGCGCTGATTACGACCTTACTGAAGACGTTAACTTGGAGGAGAGTATCTTCGTCGGCGATGCTGGCGGTCGCATCGCGGCATCGAAACTCTCCAAAGACTTCAGCTGTTCCGATCGAAACCTGGCCCACAACATCGGGATCACATTCAAGACACCGGAAGAATTCTTCCTTGACGAGAAACCTCGGGATTTTGTCCGGGAATTCGACATCGTGCATTTCCCGTACCCAGAGGATTTCAGTTCAGAGACATCGAGTGCTCTGTTTGAGAAGAAAAATAAACAGGACATCGTTCTTTCCTGTGGCCCACCAGGTGCTGGGAAGAGTACGTTCTTCTGGAAGTACCTCAAGCCCTTGGGGTATGAACGTATCAACCAGGACACGTTAAAGACGTCAGTTAATCTCACCCTTCTCGGATCTTTCTAGTTGTTGACGTGTTGGCAGTCGAGACAAGTGCGTGCAGGCCGCCAAAGAGCTACTGAGTGAAGGCCAGTCGGTAGCAATAGGTCAGCTACGGCGCGAATTCTCCCGCCATGTTCAAGCACTAACTCAGTCCAGACAACACGAATCCCGACCCCGACACCAGAGCTGTTTGGGTTCAGCTCGCAGCGAAAAATGGCATTCCAATCAGATGTGTTTGGTTCAAGACACCTCTTCATATTTGCGAACACAATGACGCCGTACGATCTATGAATGAATCTGTAAGCTCGAATCTGGCCTTAGAAACATGACTGCAGCTAATGCATGGCAGCTCAATCCCGAGTCACGAACAGCACTCCCTAGGATGGCCTTCAATGGATTCAAATCCCGCTTCAAGGAGCCCAAAGTGAAAGAGGGATTCCAAGACATCACCGAACTCGAGTTCGCCTTCAGAGGTACCAAGGAAGAGCACGAAGTGTGGGCCAAATACTGGCTATGATATCTCGAGCCTGCTCCCGAACGAACATTTCAATCAACTTGACGCAAATCTGCCAGAGGCTCGAGTCCACGAAAGTTTGGCATCACGAATAGCGACCCTATATCCGGCCTCAACACCACCTCACACCAGTACAGTCCAGGATAAGGAGGCAAGTGAATTGATCAGAGGCGGTAGCTAAACTCAATATCTCGGTCGCCTGTCTGCTTCTTCCGCGTCTCTTCCCTGGCACCGGTGAGGATAGCGTCCTTCTCCTTGTTCAGGCGTCTGAGGATTAGCCAATGGATGACGATCAAACACTCTGCCACAAAGATGGCTCCGAGTGAAAACCCATTCCCAAGAACATACGGCGAACTTCTGTAGATTTGGCCTGCTACAGCACCGGCTGAGTTGCCGATTGTCTGTTGAATACCAATGGCAGTGGCACGCCAATATTGTGGTGCTGTGTTGACGTTGAGCCAGGCCAAGTTAAGCCCTGTGCCATTATATACTGCGATAGTGCAAATGAAGCAGGCAAAGTATTTGACGGCATTGTTGCTGACGCCGATCAAGATTGCAAAGCCAATTGCGCCTACAAGGTTGGTACTGAAGAGGAACTTTACGTGCCGAAAGTCAGCTACTGCTACTACAGCAATACAACGGGAATCAAGCATGACTCAACTGACCATGCCGCATTTTCCGTACTTGTCTGAGAGAAATGCAAAAGTGAAGAATGCCAGCGCACCGAGGCAATACACGGGTACTGTCAAGTAGTTGCTGGCCAGCGTGACGTGGCCCATGGCGTGCAACATGGAGGGCAATAAAGTACCGAATCCATTTGTCAAGATGTTCTGACAAAATTGCGTCCACGCGCTGCGAGCGTTAATGTCAGGAAATTCTCTCTTGCGTTCGAATTCTCAAGCAACACATACCTAAGCCAAGTCTTCGGGTCCAAGAACGCGAGCTTAACTTCGTTCCAATCAAGCTCGCTACTACCCATGTAATCCAGCCTCTCTTGGTGCCGCATATCCATGATCACTCGCTCTTCGTCATTGAGGAAGTAAGCTTTCCGAACGTCGCTAGGCAAACCGAACCAAACAGCAAAGGCGCATATGACACTAAACGCCCCCTCGATGAGATACACCCATCTCCAGCCAGCGTACCCGCCTACACCGTCCATTTGCAACAACCCGTACGCCAACAAGCCTCCAAAAGCACCGGATAATGCCGTGCACGAGACGAGACGAGGTAGGATGTGCGCTTCGCAATCTCGTCTCGCTTGTATACCATGGTGAGGTACATGTTGAGAGAAGGGAACAAGCCGCCCTCGCAGGCGCCGAGGACCAAACGGCATGCATAGAGGCCACCGACATTGCGAATTAATCCTTTGGCTACTGTCGTGACAGACCATATCACGCAGAGGGCTGTCAGGACGAAGCGTGGTTCGAAGCGCTTGACGAGGAGGACGGCTGGGACTTCCACGGGCACGTAGGTTACGAAGAAGAGGGACACGGCTGTTGAGTATTGTTGATTGGTGGCGCCGATTTCTTCGGGCATGCCGGCGATTTTGACATTTCCTGTATCATGTTTAGAAACTTGGTCGGAGACAAGTAATTGGAACTAGGTTTTGGTAAGAGGTTGATGAAACTGGGTATGTGTACATACCGATGTTGGCTCTATCAATAAAGCATGAGAGATAGACGATGAAGAGTACGGGTGTAATATAAGTCAACATACCCACTTCCTGGCCCCCCCCCCCCCCACTTCCCCCCCCCTGTTTCTGGCCCCCACAAAAACGCGAAAATCCACCACAACACCATACCCACCCCCAACCTCCTTTTATCACAACATTTTCAATTCGCATCCAAACGGGCTCATCTTTTACACATACCTCCTTCAATACCCAATACCTCAATATACCGAAGATCAGCTTCGTTAGGCTCTCGAGGACATTACAAACGGCAAGAGTCAAAAGAGAGCCTTATTGGAGTATAGGATACTACGATTAACCCTCTAACTACGTCTCCGAGATGGTCAGATTAGGAAACTGGCCTTTGCTGACCTGCAGAGGCTGTCTCCTGACCAGGAGAGTAAGCTAGTAGAATAGGTTCGTATTTAGGCTTTACTAGGCCTCGTACTAATATACCAATAAGTAAAGGAATTCGCAGAACGAATCCTCCTTACTACTAGAGATAAGCAGCTACTAGGAAAAGGCTAGATCTATGCCTTTATTCAGAGGAACCCCGTTATTAAGGTTCAAAGAAGTCGTTCTATCGATTCTCGACGCGTTAATGGCGCATCTACTAAGGTTATTAGGAACTAGTTTAAGTTTCTTACTATCTTGTTACGAGCTGGACAAGGCAACCAACTGTGGCACAAAGCAAAAGCTTCGATAATGATGACTCCGGTCATCATTGTCCCTTGTTCTGCATATATAGCTACGCGCCCACAGTGACAAGTTGCGGCGGGCGTAACATATCTCTAATATCAAGGACATCAAACTAACCAATAACTTAGGTATAATATAGATGAGACTAGTATCCTCGAGGGTTAGGGAGCTAATTGTTACGGCCAGCTAGTCGTAGGGGTAGTTTGCAGAAGTTGAGGCTGCGGAACTGGTAACAGTAATCGTAGTCGGGGATAGCTTCAGGGAAGCTATGTCTGTCAATCGTAAGGGTAGGTAAGGCTTCGGTGATCAATCGTAGTCTTGTCAAGGTAGTAGCTGAAAGCGGATGTTAATCCTGATACGAAGTTAATTGCTGAAGAAGCTATGGAAAGTCTGTCCTAGAGCCCAGCTCGAGTCCATCCTTATATACAAGTCCGATCCTAACTGAACAGTGCTGAACAGTCCACTTTGTCTGGATATGTTGGATATGCCGAATATCCAACATATCCTTGACTCGGTTGGATATGTCGAATATCCAACATATCCTTGACTCGGTTGGATATGTCGCATATCCAACATATCCTTATCCCTTATCATATCTCTTATCATCACGTGACTTGTACCATAGTTCTTCCGTTCCTGGGGTTTCCCCAATGTTCCGTCCCGTCCTGCATATATGATGCGCCGTAGCCGCTAGGCGTCAGCGGGGCACGCCCTGGTCTTCATGTTGGGTCGTAACATCAGCTCTCCCCTCAAAGGTCTTGTCCTCAAGGCCAATATAAGTAAGTAGTTGTTCCCAGGTTGGGGAATCTGCAAGCTTGCTTCTTTGTTCATATTGACTCGTAATGTCAGGTTACGTTCAAAAACGAAAGGCCGTATCGTCGCCTGAAGTTCGTCCTGCAAAGAAGACTGAACAACGGAATTCTCTTTTAAGTCTCATCTTAGGCAATCGGACCATCATGCCTGTTTGTTCTTCCTGCGAGATTCGGGGTTTTTCCTCGTGTGAGGCTTCGCTTTCTGATTCTTCTCGGTGCGCTGAATGCGTACGCGGTGGGAAGTCTTATTGCGATCTCCAGGGTTTATCTTCTCAACAGCTTCGTCGAATTGGTGATCAACACCAGAAGCTAGAGGATGCTCTAGAGCAGGCCGAAGAGCAGCGCCGTACTTTAGATGCTAAGGTGGAGCGTCTTCGAAAGCAAAAGAAGGTGTGGTTTGAAAAAATGATGCGCGCGGTGCGTCGTGGTATCGACAGTGTGGAGGAGTTGGAGCGTGTCGAAAAGGAGGAGGCGGTGGCGGAGCAGCATCGACAAGAGGGGGTGCGTCCTCCTTCCGCTGGTTCCGATCGTCTTCCTGCGGACTTTATCGGGGAGTGGGATACGGTTTATCCCGACGTCGTTTTGTCTCCGTCCTTGTTGGCTGAGTTTGGTTTATTGGATTCGGGTTCGTTAGTGCCGACTTCCGGTAGTCCTCGAGGAGTTGCCGGGAGTTCTGGAGATTCGTAATGGGTTCCCATGTATTTTCCTCGTGTCCGTAGTTTTTCCATTTAATCAAGAATTCTCGTGTCTCGTTCCTGACTCTGTGGTCGATGATTCGTTCGACTTCATACTCTGGTTGATTTGATTCCACAACGATGTAATCGTTCGTGTGCGAGCCTCGTGGTGCTGGCTCGAGGAGTGAGATGTGGAATACCGGGTGACACTTCATTGTGTCTGGTAGTCTCAATTCGTAATTGACTGGTGAGACTTTCTTGATGATCTCAAAGGGTCCAAGCTTTTTATGGTCCAATTTGTCGCTTGGTCGTTTCGTTTTGATGTTGCGTCGAAGGAGATAGGCGCTATCCCCCTCTTCTAAGGTTGGTCCTCCAATCCTTGATCTGTCGGCGTTTTTCTTCATGCGCTGCCGTACAAATTCGAGGTCCTGAGATGCTTTCTTCTGGAGCTCTCTGAGTTTTGTCACGTCGGCCACGGCTTTCACGGCCTGTGGTCCCTGTCGTGCTTCTCCGTACGCTGTTGGCTGGAATCCATAGTTAAGATAGAACGGGGATTCTCTCGTGCTCTCGCCAACTGCGCTATTATATGCGAATTGGGCCATTGGTAGTAGCGATACCCAATTATTCTGGTCGTAGTTCACATAACAACGAAGGTATGTCTCGAGGATTTGGTTAATCCTTTCTGTCTGCCCATCGGTCTGCGGGTGAAAAGAGGTTGACAGCTTATGGTCTGCACCGAGTTGCGAGATCAGGGATCTCCAAAACTTAGCGGTGAACAGCTTATCTCTGTCAGAGACAATTTCCTTGGGTAGACCGTGGTTGGCAACAATAGTCTTGAGGAAGGTGTATGCCAGTTCCTCTGTATTGCTTGCTTCTTTGTATGGTACGAAGTAGGCGAACTTGGTAAGTCGATCGACGATGACCAAGATACTGTCGTACAGTACGTTCGTGAGTGGCTCTCTGGACTTTGGTAGTTTGACGATAAAGTCCCATGAGATTGAGTGCCATGCTTCGGGTGGTATCGGAAGCGGTTGTAGCTCTCCATAGGGCTTATGGGGGCTGTTCTTGCTCTTCTTGCAAATGTCGCAATCCTTGATTGCTTCGGCGACTTCTGCTCGCGTGGCAGACTTGTCGTAATGTTGTCGAATT